AAAATAGATGATTAAGCACGTTCTGCTTTAGGGTGTCACTACCTTGTAATTGACAAGTCGTTACCACAGTGATAATAATAAAGATACGGGTGAATCGTATCCATTGCACATGTATGTAAATTTAACTAGCCGTGAACTTTTTTGTGTGCTGTCTGTGTTTTTGTCTAAGAGCTATGACCTGGGCCACGGTTTTGATGCGTCCATAGCCCGGTGTCAAAGTCCACTGGAAGCGTTTCAGCAGCGGAGCGTGCAGCCTGCCCCACGTTTTTAATTGTTATTAATTTGATAGAATCTCTACAAAATGCACTAGCTGCGGTCACAAAGTCATGAACCCAATTCCAAACTACATCAATTACATGAGATCAGTATTGAGACAAGACTCAAACTCCTTAAAGTGAAACCCAAATGCCAGTGAAAGGTGATTTTAGTTGGCAGGCCTAAACCCAGTGCAGCTAGAAAGAATAAACTGAGACGGTACTAAAAATGAAATGCTTGATCTCTACCAAGTCTCTCTCACACACACACACACACACACACATTTACTAGAAAAAAATAAATAAATAAAACTGTGCACCAAATGTAGTGTGTGTTCACATAAGATCTGACTTCCATAAGCAACATCAAAGCTTCTGTGAAATAACACACAAACAGAAAGTCAACAGATCCCCACTAGCACCTTCACAAGACAGTCAGACACACACACACACACACACACACACACACACACACACGGCAAAGACAAATTCCTCAAGAAGGGCAACTTGTAAAACACCCAAAAAGCTAATTTGGCTACAATGCTAATGCATCTCCTTGGGTTTTAACTCCTTTTCATTTCACTGTTTACTGTCCAGAAAAGCTGAAATGCCATGATGGTCTTCAGAAAACACATTAACACAGAATAGAGCACTCACCCATCCTCCCCCACAGCGACCAGGGATCATGGCCTGGCTAAATTTCTTCCAGCCTGACCTCAAACAGAGTTAGCATTGATTGTGGATGGGTCTTCACTTTCATCTGAGCATAAACAAACCATGCCAGGACTCAAAGCAACTTAACTGACCACTGACCCATTTTAAGTTGACCTGAACCCTACAGGTCTGAGAACAAATCAGGACTCTGAGGATGCCAATTTATGCCACTCACTAATCCATCTTCTGGGTGATCCTCTGGACTTCATCAATAACCCATACGGTTATATATAGGAAACAAGGACCAAAAGAAACCAACTTTGTAATTCAGAATCAAATGTACATTAATTGATATTGAATTGACTTTTTTTTCTCTTACTGTCAGTCACATTGTATCCCCACTGTTCCTGTTTACCTGATTTCAGGTAATTCCCACATAAAGCTAATTAGTGCAATCTCTCTTGAGCAAAAACCGAGCTACATTTTAAATATATGTTAATATTGGAGAAAGTTAATTAAATTACTGCTACTTCAATAAGTATTCACTACATATTGGCACAGAATGCAGTACGTTGGCTTCATCTGTGTGTGCAATGCCCTGGTCAGGAGTGAGGTCAGCTGAAAAGAAGCAACTAGCTATCTATGTTGTAATAAACTGATCACCTTCAAAGCTGGAAACTGGTTCCAACCAACATAGTGTAGCCAGATTGTGTAATTAAATAATAATAATAATGCATTACATTTTTATAGCGCTTTATCATTGAAACTCAAAGCGCTTCACGATGAAGTGGGGGGGCCTCACCTCAACCACCACCAATGTGTAGCACCCACCTGGGTGATGCACGGAAGCCATTTAGCGCCAGAACGCTCACCACACATCAGCTTGAGGCAGAGAGGGAGGGGAAACATTGAGCCAATTACTACGGGGGATGATTAGATGGTTGAGAATCTTGCACCAGGGAACCCCCTACTCTTTGCATTACATTCATTTAGCTGACGCTTTTATCCAAAGCGACTTACAATTGCTATACAACTAGGGAGCAACTAGGGGTTAAGTGTCTTGCTCAGGGATACATTGGATGGGTCACAGTAGGGGATTGAAGCCAGGTCTCTCACACCAAAGGCAAGTGTCTTATCCACTTCCCCACCACCTTTGCGACAAGTGCCATGGGATCTTTAATGACAACAGTGAGTCAGGACCTTGGTTTAATGTCTCACCCGAAGGACAGCAGTTCCTACAGCACAGTGTCCCCATTACTGCACTGGGATCTTATTATGAGGACCAGAGGGAAGACTGCCCCCTACTGGCCCACCAACACCTCTTCCAGCAGCAACTTCGTTTTCCCCAGAGGTCTCCCATCCAGGTACTGGCCAAGCCCAAACCTGCTTAGCTTCCATCATTCAACAGTAGCAGGGTTTACATTGGTATGGCTGCCAGCAAAAGAATCAGAATCAGCTTTATTGCCAGGTATGTGTACACATACGAGGAATTTGACTCTGGATTGTGCATTGCTCACGATGTGCTTACTCATAAAAAAATACAAAATCACAATAATAAAAATAAAATACAATCAGACACAGACTTCAGTGTAGACAACACAAATATAATAGTGCAGTGAGCAGAGTGCAAAGGATGCAGGAGTATGTACATGTCGTACATATACGTGATATACAGGTACATATACAGCATACATGTACACAGTGCAAATAAGTGTAAGTAGTTTGTGCAGTAGTTATGATTGAGGTAGGTGGATTTGGTATACAGTATCTACAATATGACAATATAACAGTATGAACAGCACTGAAATAGAGACTGGTGAATAAATAAAGTGGTAACCAGTAAACAGGTGGCTGATTAGAGTTATTAATTAGAGTTACTGGGTTATTGCACAGGAATTGTTCCTGACACGTGAGTCAGAAATCAGCTGTTCATCAGAGTGATGGCTTGTGGGAAGAAACTGTTCCCAAGTCTGTTGGTTTTGGCGTACAGTGCTCTGTAGCGCCTTCCAGAGGGTAGAAGCTGGAACAGGTTGTGTCCGGGGTGAGATGGATCTGCAGTGATGTTTCCTGCCAGTTTCCTGACTCTGGAAATGTATAAGTCCTGAATGGAGGGCAGGTTGGCACCGATGATCTTTTCCTCAGTCCTGACTGTCCGTTGTAGTCTGCTCCTGTCCTTTTTGGTGGCAGATCCAAACCAGACAGTGATGGACGTGCAGAGGACAGACTGGATGATGGCTGTGTAGAAGTGGAACAGCAGCTCCTTAGGCAGGTTGAGCTTCCTGAGCTGACGCAGGAAGTACATCCTCTGCTGGGCCTTCTTGATGATGGTGTCAGTGTTGGGCTCCCACTTCAGGTCCTGGGATATAGTGGATCCCAGAAACCTGAAGGATTCCACAGCAGACACAGGGCTGTTGAGTATGGTGAAGGGGGGCAGAGTGGGGGGGCTCCTCCTGATGTCCCCTAAGGTGCAGTCGTTGGTGTAGAGGGAGAAGAGCAGGGGGGAGAGAGCACAAACCCCTGGGGGGTAGTCCGGGTTCTGGATGTGATGTTCTCCAGCCTCACCTCCTGACTTCTGTCTGAAGTTTGTGTTTGGGTGAGTTATGTGCTGAGGATATCCGGGATGATGGCATTTAACGACGAGCTGAAGTCCACGAACAGGATCCTTGCATATGTCCCCGGAGAGTCGAGGTGTTGCAGGGTGTAATGCAGTCCTAAGTTGACTGCATCATCCACTGACCTGTTAGCCCTGTAGGCAAACTGCAGGGAGTCCAACAAGGGGCCTGTAATGTCCTTCAGGTGGGCCAACACCAGTCTTTCAAAGGACTTCATGACTACAGATGTCAGGGCGACGGGCCTGTAGTCATTTAATCCAGAGCAGAGATGGAGGGTTTTTGGGGGACCGGGAATATTGTGAGCATTTGAAGCAGGAGGGAACTTCACACAGCTCCAGTGATCTGAGGAAGATCTGTGTGAAGATGGGGGCCAGCTGGTCTGCACAGATTTTCAGGCAGGATGGAGACACTCCATCTGGGCCGGGAGCCTTTCTGATCTTCTGCCTTTGGAAGAGGTGGCTCACGTCCTCTTCACAGATCTTGAGTGCAGGTGAGAAGTCAGAGGGGGGAGGTGACTGTTTGGAGATGGTGTTGGAGCTGGGGAGAGGTGTGACTCTGGGCTTCTCAAACCTACAATAGAAACCATTCAGCTCGTCTGCCAGTCGTTGAGTACCATCAGTGTTGAGGGATGGTCTCCTGTAGTTGGTGAGTGCCTCTCCACACTGACGCAGGATTGTTGACTGCAAAGCTTTTCGGCGTAGCTCCTCTTTGCAGCTTTGATCTCCTTAGAGTGTTCCTGGCCTGGTGGTACAGAACTCTGTTCCCACTTCTGAAGGCCTCCCCTTTGGTCTGACGAGGCTGCCGGAGTTTCGCTGTGAACCAGGGTTTTTGTTTGTTGTATGTGCGGAAGGTTTTAGTCGGCACACACGTCCTCACAAAAATTGATGTAAGATGTCACAGGTGCCCAAACAAAAGTTATGTTTCCATTTAGTGTAAAGGCAAAGATGTTTATTGCTGTTCCGAATGGCAACACTCGAAGACCATCATAGGGCCGCATTTTCAAACAGACTCTCATTTCATAGTGATGCACTCAGTTGTTCACATGAAAGGTGACTGAAATAGTTGCATAAAGAATGGAAAAGGTGAGCTTTATATAGAAAATAAACCCTGGCTTCCACCTCCCCAATTACAATGGCAGAAAGGTGTGGGGGCAGGGGTTTCTGAAGCTATTCGACTAATTCTGATGAAGTATGCTGGCAGCTTAAGAGTCATTGCAGAGCATCTTATATTTCTGACCACACCCCAGCGAGTGTCAAAACAGTTGCTTTTACTAAGTTCATCTTATATGGGAGGAATAGTAAAGAGAGGTTAAAACTAGGAAGCTCAGGTTCGTTGTAACCTGATGTTTGAAATTGTTTCTTTATCAAGTATGCCTAGGAAAGTATTTTTAAACTGCAGTAAAACAACAATAAAAGAAGGAAACCCCAGCACCCCTCAGATCTCATGAAGTGATCCTACCCACTATGTGCAGCAGTCTTACCTTCCTCTTCTTAAAGGCCTGTCTAGCCAGGTATCCCCTGCAGGCAGCCTGGAACAGAGAGATGTTCCTCCTGGTCTGAACGTCCCGCTGCTCCTCAAGCCTGGACAAAGTCCCTGCTCTGAAGAACACCTGCGCGAGGAGAGGAATTTAGAAAAGTCACACATAATTCTTTTCTTGAAGGTATTGGCACACGGCCACATAGAACAGCCAGCATGTCAGTTAAGGACATTTTTTTACTATATTTCCACTAAGTTACCATAAAACTTTGATTAATAGCCCAGGTTTTTATTTGCTAAAAACACTGAATTGACCCTGCCTAATATTTGGGACTGGCGTCCACATGGGACAGGCCTTTAATTCCTCTCGCACAGAACTGAAATAGGCTATGAAACCGTTTATTTATTTCAAACAGAATATTACTTGTATAAAAATTATCCAATAATATCAAATACACATCAGACGGCTTATGCGCTTTTATTTTGAAGGCAGCAACGTAACGAAAACAACAACATGGTGCAGGCTGAGAGAAGTGTGGCAGAAGTTAGCAGACAAAGTGATGGACTTTAAACCTTGGATTAATTTTCATGAAAAGCTGGTTTGATTCTTTTGATCGGTGGACCCTTACAGACTGAAGCAATATAAATAATCAAGGAACGACACATTCAGACTCATATCTATAAGAATTAGACTTTGGCTCGCTGTTTCCTTTAAATGAACTGAACGATTGAATTGTATGTAAAAGGATGTGTAGCATGTCCATACTGACACACTGATACCATTAAACATTAATGTTTGTATGAACGATCTAAGCAGCTTAGAAGCAGCTAAAGCGGGCAACCCTGCAGTGTTTAAGAGGTTTTGTACATTTAATGGAGACCTGCGTTTATTTGTCAAAGCAGGCCAGGCCAGTAAACGGGGTAGGTGGCTATTTGGGACTCGGCTATTAATTGAAGTTTTACGGTAAACAAAAACTTGGACAACTGATTGTAAAACTTGCCAGGACTTCAAGTGGACTCACATGGATTTAATCCTATCTGTTTTGTAAGAGTGATTATTTTTATCACCTAAGCTCCATGTTGACATGTTGAATATTTGGGCTCCTGGCAGCATAACAAAATCACCGGATCCCTTCACTGTAGGTGTCAAGCATTCACTTGTAAAGAATATGGTGAAGTATGACTCATCTGACCATATCACTTTATTCCATATCTCTACAGACAGCCTTTGCACTACTGAACTCTCAAATGTGCATTTATCTTCGTAATGAAGGGTTGTCATTGTGCATAGTGTTGTAGAATAAATGTACCTTGAATATTTGATTATTTCATTATGTCACGCACAGTACTGGAGGGGGCGTTTCACTGCACAATGTAGAGAGATGTTGAGTATGTGACAAATAAAAAAAACTTAAAACTTTAAGATAGTGTAGAGTATACCCTTCTGAAGCAATCAACTACAGCAACCCTGTAAAAACATGGCCACTGATCTAGCTGCCTAAATGGAAACACGCCAAACTCTGCACTTCACATCACTTTCTGAATCATTTTATATCTTCCACACATTAACCATGATCACCCAAGTCACTCTTTTCTCTTGCAGGTCACTGGCCACATGCAGCTAACACCAAGGAAAAACATACCCATCGCTGCATCGCAGTGTTTCATCCCTGACTAGGGTATTTCTATTTTGTTTGATTTCTTATAAAAACACTGATAGTGTTAACCATGGATGGATCATCAGCTCTTCTGAATACTTATTAAAATATTTTTGATGTTAAGTCAACACTAGGCCTGTCCTGATCAGTTGAGTAAGGATACCATGCTCAATCCACTATTTATATGTAACACGTTTTGTCTATTTCTACTTAATACAGATGCAGTATATTCTTCAATGCAACTCATACCGTCCATTTGACATGGGTCACATCAAACATGTCTAGTAGTTGAGTAGGGAAGGGCCAGCAATTGTAATAAAATTGCTGCTTTGACTTGCATCAGTGCTGCGAAATCAGACAGCAGCGTTTCCTGATGGACGGGCCATCAAGATGCCATTGGTATGCAGGCTGAAATGGGTGTTTTGTAGTGGTGCAACAGATCACAAAACTCACGGTTCGGATCGATCCGTGGTTTTGACTCACAGATCGGATCCTTTTCAGGTTTCAGGTCGGCAAAACAAAAAAGGGGTTAGGGTTAAGTTAATTTTAAAATGAATACTCTGGCTCTGATGTAGCCACCTCTCTCTGTCTATCCACCTTATTTTTAATGGGAATACGGACACAGCCAGTTGACAGCCAGTCTCGCTCAATCTGACTGCTTACATGTCATGAGTAAAACATTTGCTGCTACGGTGAGCAGCAGAGCTGTGCGTCGAATGGAAGGCAGCGGATATTACTGAAGTTCAGTTCAATTCAATTTTATTTATATAGCGCCAAATCACAACAACAATTATCTCAGAGCGCTTTTCATAAAAGAGCAGGTCTAGACCGTACTCTGTGATGCTATTTACAGAAACCCAACAGTTCCCACCAAGAGCAGCACTAGGAGACAGAGGCAAGGAAAAAGTGAAGTGGCAAAAAACATCACAATCGTATAATCAGTTTCTATGGTGAAAAGCAGCCCAGTTTTTGACGTCACAGCCTATGGGGTTTCACTAAATGGAGGCGAAAGTGACCTGCTCAGCGGTTTGATTTGTCAATTTCTTCCAAGTCCAGAGAAACTATCTCAGCTATTCTCAAAGAATGATCAATATTAGTCTTAGATTAGATTTCTGTCTTTCATCTCCTTTGCTGATGATTTGGGCAGCAGTAGTGCTACTTCCTGAATGCTAATGAGCGCACAATTTCATTTTTGACTGTAAAGAGTCATGATGTGCTGACACTGGGCCCCCTGTAAAAGCCTACATCATAATGCCTCCAACTTCCTCTTGATAATTTTTGTCTGGGAACAGACATTGTTCTGTTCCTCAGACCTGAGTAAGCTGGCAGCTCTTTGTGGAACTACATTCATTAAGTGGAGATGGAGTGGCACTTTGTCTTTCACTGGATGGGACCGTTTCTAACTCTGACTTTAATTTTCAAAATTGGCTGAGCAAAGGAGAAAGAATGGCTTGGAGTATGGCTGGGAGTTAAGGTTGTTGTTGAGATGTCAAGCAGCCCTTGTAACTTCACCATTTATACAACAGTGACATTACTCAGTCCATTTAACCACGCGTCCCTTGACGGTCCATCCAAATATTAGGTGTTTCTAAGGCACTAAGGGCAATCAAATGGGGTCAGCCCGGTCATATAGTGGTTAGCACTGTCCTGTCTGTTCCTCAAAAATCACAATGAAGGTTAGGTTAATTGGAGTGTAAATGGTGGTGAACCCCACTTCTTGCCCAATGTGGTTGGGATAGGCTCCAGCCCCTGCCCAGGATTAGCAGGTATAGATAATGGATGGGTGGATGTTGGTAATCAAATAGCCATATAAAAACAGAGGCCTTATTACAACTGCAGAGCAAGTCCACCCTCAAATGCAGCCAGGAGCAGCTACTGTCAGATCTCTGTCTCTCTGCTGGAAAGTCAGTGAGTCCAGCAGTTTTCTACAGTCACTAGAAGCATGGGATTTAAGTTAAAATTACTTTTCATCTGCCCTGAATTTCCAGTGAAGCTGGATATTGCACAGTTGTCAGAGGATCCAGTTTTCTTTTCTGCTGACTTGTCCTAGGACAATCATTCTTGTACACACAACCATTTCAAAATGAATGGCTACTGATACTGCTCAACAAACATCTTTTAGTGTGGATATGCTTTAATGACTTCTCCTGCTGTACAGTGTATAAGATGTAGGATTAGTAGGAATTTTCTCACCCTGCTTGACTACAATGGTGATGCAATTAGAGTGCAATGTGAAGTAATATACCATGAGTCTGCTGCTCCTCTATGGTGTGTAAATGTGTGCTGGGATGAGAAATGTTGTGAATAGTAACAAGCTACACCATGAGTTAGTAGGAGCTCTAGAAGAAAATGTATTAACAAACGGCTATTGTTTTCATAGATTTATTTTTATAGTGCCCCCTACAATATTCAATGAAGCAGACCCCGGCGTACATTTCACGTAAATGTATGTAATTTGGGAGGCAGATGTATCATCTCTAAAATTAAAAAAAAGCCTCTTGGATCCATATCCTAAACCTAACTGGACGTCAGCTATTTTGAAATGAATTTTTTGCCACCTGTTGGCAATAGGAAATGACATGATTTATACCTTGATGTACCCCTCCAGGCTGCTTTCTTGGATTCATCAAACGGCACTGCCATAGCGACACGGCACATTTCTATGTTCCGATGTTCCAAAATAAGTAAGCCTGCTAACAGATTAAAAGTTTCGAAATAAGTAACTGTTGCACCTCGACCACACTTTGTCAGATATTTACATTTTTATGATAGACCCCTTTGAACTACCCAATGGGCAGGAACCAGCCTGCTATGAAGTCACACCTTAACGTCATTTATCCCAGAATCTCAGGCTCCATCCACACTACTATGTTTTCTTTTTAAAATGCAGACCTTTTGCTACGTTTGCACCTACTGTCCAGACTAAAACGGCGAATCAGAAGACCTAAAACGGAGAAGTCTGCTGACCCCATTTTCGTTTTAAAACTCCGTTGTGGCATATTACTGCAGACAGGCGAAAAACAGGGGCCTTTAAAAACGCAGGACTTTAAAAACGATGATGCAGATGCTCATGTTTGGCTTCCTGATTGGGTGTTACCAGTCATGCAAAGCAGAAACAAGATGCTACTGACAGTGTGTTAGTTTTGGTACTTTATTAAAATATTTAGTACTGTGCAAATAACACTTAAAACACTTTGCGACGACTCCCAGTCTGTTTTCCTCTGCAAGAGTCTATTTGTACTTTCAGTAACAGTTCCACCTCTTTGTCGGTCCATGCTAAAATCTCTGGTGTGGTTGTTTGTAGTACCTACTTTCGTCTTTCGCCAAATCTTCTGCAACTGCGGAGAAGACATTCGTGAACAGCCACTAGATGTGCGTTTTCAGTTGTTTTAATGTAGACGAAGATCAACTCAGCTAAAATGCTGGTGTGGACAGAGATTGTTTTCGTTTTAAAACTCTTAAACTGTTTTTTAAACAAAAGGCTAAATGTTTCTCCAAGCAGATGGCCTCAGGAAGGAACAGCAAAATCCGACCAAACAAATACATGAAGGCCTAATAACAAAGCTGGGTATTTTATTGTATATATTGTGGTTTGTAAAGAACAAGCGGCTAAGTTATAAACAGTACAACAACATTTTTTCCCTCTGTATACAAGGCTTCAACAACCATGAATAATTTCTCTTTTGGTGGGAAATGCTGCTGTGGGCAGATGTCAAACTGGCCTGGGAGGAGATAACACATCTGGTTAACATGAACTGCTGTGCTCCTTAGAGTCTCATTTGTCAATGTGGGGATGGTTTTATGATATCAGGCAGAGAGCCACATACAAGTTGGCAGTGAGAGGTGGGTCATCTGCCAGCCTGGAGAAGATACAGCCACCTGCACACTCCACACTTTCTGCGTCATGCGTGGCACTTTTATTTTGGTTGATAATCATTCCTACATCAAAACTAAGGTATACAAGATTATGTGGTATTCTTTTTAGTTTGCAGCACATTTAAAGTGGATTTTAAAAAGGGTTAACTTTGTGCTATTTATTCCACTGGACGTTAACTGATTCAAAGAAAAGCCTCTGTTACTGATGCTTCAACAATAAGCCTCTGTGTTTATTATCACATCTACAGTATGGACCACACTGAAAAGCATTCTTCCATGGGATGGGTTATTTGCTTGTGCTTATTTTTCTCTGTTTATTAGTTTTAAGTAGCCAAAAACTTGTAACCTCATTTATCCACAACAGCTAAGTCCACCATATAACTGGTTGGAAAAGCATTAATCCTGTGAGCTAAATCGTTACCCCACTTTCAAGCAATGTACCTTATTGAGAAAATCATTTTCATATCGTCACCTTTTTAAAACAAAGTCGTCCAGCTCAACACAGCAGGTACCTACTGTACGACTGTTCTTACGAGAAGATGTGACTGAAGTACTGAGTAATGTAAAGCAAGTGTTTTAAACAGTGGATTTTCTCCACTTTAATGCAGCTCATTTATTCATTATTTAAAATTATTCCCACTCTGCACAAGGTACGCAGTATGATTAGATTAAGTAAGTGGCCCAGTGTGTGTCTTGTCTGCCAGTAAAAATAATGTGTAACAAGAGACCTTAGCAACATAAATAATATGAACACCAGAGAACAAAAAAGTTCTGATTTGAAACTTTATCTAAACTTGGGAAAAGTAGCGGGCCAAGAATAGACTGACACACACAAACACTAAGGCAAGGTTAAACTCCCTGCAATATCTGCCAAGAAATGTCTCTAATTGACAGCTTAAGGCGCACACTGTTCTTTATTCCACAGACATTTACAGATCTAATTAACAAAACCATCAGCCTGTCTTTTTCCTTGTGATTAGCTGTTTTTTCTCTATCTCATAGAGTTGGAGTCTGGCATTGTCTGACTGCTGCTTGGCAAGGGTCACAGCTACAGAAAGCCACACAGATCAGCTCCTTCCCATAAAAAGAAAGATTAAAAACCAAAACACACCTCGAGCAGTGAAGGTGAGAATGGATGTGTGAAGATTAAAAAAAAATAGTGGCACACCTGATTGTGTGAAATCTCCCACATAAATTACTGCTGGATTAATATTACAATTTATCACAATCATTTCAATGTTTCAGTCTATCCAGCCTTCATCAGTCAGCAGCATCGCAACACTTCCATGTGGGACCCTCCCATATGGAAGTGTTGCGATGCCCCCCCTCCAGCAGGTGTCTGTGCTTTTGGCAATTGGTGTATTTTCTCTGTTGTTTCCTCTTGTCACACCCCAACCACCCACCCGTCCATCTTGCAGGTGCAGTCATTTCTCTGTGGTATCCGTTTCTTTGATGTTTGTGCCCCCCACCCCCATTTCCACCCCCCTGTCTGGCCTAGTGAAAAATATATACACATACATTATAAAATAAAAACAAAGACGACAAAGGACTGAATTAAAACTCTGCACAACATGGTACCCAACTCCTCCTACTATACATATATTAAACATAGCCTGCTCCAGAGCAGGTTAGTCATTTAGCTAAAGTTACCATGGCGATGTACCCAGGGTTAAACCTAAATTTAACATCAAGAGTTAAGAAATTATACACAATCTTAGAAATATGGCTCACCATTCAAGCTTTTTCTGGTAAGGGGGACAAGTGAAAATAGTCTAAATATATAAATAAATAAACATGCAGAAACACTTGATGCACATTTATTAGGTAACAGGTCTGAAAAACCAACACAGTTTTCCCCATATGTTTCTATGACCACCTATCTAGTGTGTATAATTTTTGTATGTTTGTTTTTTTGCGAGTAGCAAAAAGGGAACTACAGCTTATCCTGTTATACAACCCTGTGTTGTAAAATGATGTCTCTTTTAGCCACAACATGGTTAGATTTCTAAATCAGATTAGGCCAGTGTTTTATACACTCCCTAAACTACACAATCAATACCGAACTGCCAGTTGCAACTACTAGCCGACATCCCACTCTGCCCGGTCGGCCCAAAAGCCATTTTTAAAGTCTGACCACACAAGATTATGTAAAAAAAAAAGTCGATCATGGGGACATCCCCTTGATTGGGAAGACTCGCTTCAATCTGTTAAGCAAGAGCCAGAAAAAAACTATTCTCAGCTACATGTTTGACTCATAGACTTTATAAAAGAAGCGTATATAGGCACTATTATGTTACCCGTTGGTTTCTGGAAAACCATCTTGAAGCCTTGAGTTTAACATTTTGGCCGTTGCCATCTTGTTGGGGTTTTTTGGAACCAAACACTGGACATGATCATGTTTGGACGAGAGGGTGGCACTAGCTAGCTTGGTTAGCAAGGTGAATCCATAATTCATTTTAACTGTTCATTTTACCCATGATAATAATTTTAGCTTCCAAAAAAAACAGGCTTCAAACTAAAACAGCTGACTCCTAATAAGCTTTTTCAACAGCGCTGGACACAGAGCTGCACAAGTCTGATACAAGTCACCTCTAGTCTGATTCATAGGTCACCATGGTACAGACTTTTCAATCCCAAAAGCATACCCTGCTTTATCGTCTATTTTAATTTTAACTAGGACCATAATTTATAAAATGATTGAAGACCACTTGAATCTTGCGAGTGACACCATAAACCTATTAGGAAAGTGTTTACTGAGGTAATAAATCAGCTGAGAAGTAGGTTCATTTTGTCTTTACGTCTCATGCAATTGGACTTATTTTTGCCATCAGTGGAGTCACCCCCTGCTGGCAGAGGTCCCCGACTGGTATAATCACCTACTCTCCTCAGAGTCATCTTGTAAGGTCAGTATTTATGAAGCACTACTACATATTAAAATCACACCCAGAGCTATTGCTCATTTTTAATTACCCATCTTTGTTTGTATACAAACGGGGGCGAAATTTAAGACATAATTTAGTCTATAATGCAAATTTTTCCCATAAGAAAACTCTGACTTGTGTGGATCTGACTTGAAATGAATGTGTATAATGAAAATAAATAACTTAGAATGGGGATTTATAGCTACAGTGGGAGCATGTCCGCTTCCACAGAGTCCAACCATGTTGCGCTGTCATGATTCAACCTCACCGCTAGATGCCCCTAAATCCTGCACATTGGGCCTTTAAGGTTAATAAAGGGCCTGGCTACAATTTCAAAAATGACAGCATTACATTGTGACTTATAATGAGCTGACAAGTGTGCATGTGCAAGACTCACCCGGCTTAGCCCCATGTGGTAGCTGCTCTTTTCCAGTTCCAAGGACTCCAGCAGCTCCTCCACTGCCTGGAAACCAGCAGAACAAACAGTCAGTAGTCAGATAAATATAACAACTTCGGTTTGTTCCGGGCCTTACCGCTACTTGATCATAACGTAGTTTCACAAAGGATGCTAGCTAGGTGACAGGAAACAACCACTATTCCCCCTTAACAACACACACACACACACACACACACACAATCTGCTTTGAGGGACTTAGCATAAAACAAGACAGAGAGGGAAGCTTTTCTGTCAGGTTTCATCTATTGTATCAATCTACAATATTGATTGTATTGATTTAGAGGGCTGATGCTGAGATTGAGGATTACGAATATCAATATCTAAAAGATGTTTAATACTGGCTACAAATAGGAAGAAGAATCATTCTTACTTGCCGTGAGGGGTCCTAGATTAGCAATAGATATTATATTCCACAATAGGAAAGTGTAGAATTTGGCTATTCAACACTGATAGTAGCATAGTAGTAGTAGATAGTAGTATAATAATAGTAGTTAAAGCTTTCAAGTTTGTTTTGGGGTGGTGCTATAGGAAAGGCCGAGGGACATTTAAATTACAGAATAAGCTTAATTGGCTTTTAATTTGTTATTATTGGTAATAGCAAATGTGTTTAAATTAAAGTCCATTCAAACTTACATGCATATCGCCCTCTGGAGGCAGCATGCCTTCAGGGGCTATTCTGTCACAAATGCAACAGACTAAAGAAAATAGTTTTTGTCTTCTGCATCACATACAGTGCAAGCACACACCTTTTTTGTAAATGCCTTCCTTGTGTGGGAACACAATATAAAGTGGGAAAAACAACACAAGCTGCCAACACTAAAAATGCATATTTAAAGCATTATAAAATACAAATTCAATTTGTTAATCCTCTCTAAAGCATGGTCATGTAGAGAATCCCATGTACTGGGCATGTGTACCTACTGCTACCTCCTGGAAACCTCAGGGGTGTGTAATTCTGCTCCAGTGGGCGTAAATAAAAAGTCCAACCAATAAAGGCATTGACACCTATGTGCCTTGACTATCAAATATAAACAGTTTTCTCTCAATATCTAATAGCCCATTGATTTACATTAACAAGATAATTCCAGTTAATTACAACTTGCGTCTTACTGTTTGGTTCTGTGCATCATTTTTATGTGTTATGATAAAACTGTACTCGCTAAAGTAACTGGTGAGATGTGAGCATATGAAATCGGCAAAAAGATTACAGACAGACAAGGATTAACTGGGTTTTTTGAAAACTTTCCCCAGACTTCACTGTAGGAATGTCACCATGTTCCCAGGTCTCAGCAATTAACTTGGTCAGTATCCAACAAAGGTTAACATCAAGGGCAACTGGACTTGGTTGAAGATACTGGAAGACGTTTCGTCCCTCATCCAAAGGACTTCTTCAGTTCTGACTGACTGGCAGGGAAACTCAGCTATTTAACCTCAGTGGGGTCGTTATCCCAAGGGTCATCGATACTGGTATCGATGACCCTTGATTTTAACCTTCGTTGGATAACTATGACCTGGATGACTGAGAATCTTCATAGACAACTTGGTCAGTACAACGTTATTACAATGAACACAGCTATGAAAATACAACACAATTATTTAAAGTTCCCATGAAACAGGAAGCAGAGTGCTGTTTGATTCCTGTAAAACAAAAAGCTAGGGAGGGAGTTGATTGGCTCCTGAGCTACAGTAGAGGTGTAAACACTCCCTCTGTGCTCTGATCTCCCAGTCCGGCCAGAGTCAGCTAATATGGCCACTGGCTGCACAGCTAACTGAGCTAACTTAATAACAGCAGCTACTTCATCAGCAGTTTGCCGTTATTTTAGCAACATGTAAAGCTATCTCTTCATCAGGAAACTCTGTAAATCATTGAGGAAGAGGACATCAGAGGAAAACCAGAAAACATTTTCTCTACAAATGTTCACACAAGTCACTCAATAAAGTGTTTTGTAAAAGTTATGAAGTTGTGTTTGGTGTGTTTTGTATGAGGTAAGCTCAAGGAGTGTCCAAAATGGAAAAGATTTGTGGGAAGCATGAATGTGCTCAGTACATTTATTTATTTTATTCTGCATATCAAATTTTGACATTAATAAATATAAAAGCCCTGACAGATTATTATTTATAATTTATTAATTTTATTATACTGTAGTATATGAGTGAAAGCTTCCACTGAAAACCACAAAAATAATAGTAATCCATGATAACAACACACAGAACAGTCAGGTTCCACTGAGGTTTCAGCCTCTCAGGGACAGAACACTAACAGGAATGTTGTATCATGTGGTGGATGTCCTCTCTGTTGTTAGACTGGTTGGTCTGAAAAGCTCTTGGCAGGTACACCATCTGGCTACTGACATCATGGCTACATCACACTATATTAAGAGGAAGTGACAGAACTGGGCTGACAGCGGCAGAAAGTGAGGGCTTTTTGTTTAGCAAAAAGACATTTTTCAGACAGGCTCAGCAAACCAATATTCCTTCTGTCGCTTTCTCTTTCTCTGAAAACCAATTCTTTATTATTCCTCCAATTATACATCCTTCTCTGTCTCCAACTGCCTCCTTTCATCCATCACCCTTGCTTTCTTGTTTCTTTGCTGTTTATTCCCGACTCCCCAGAGAGCTGGGTACCATTAGTTCTTTCTGAGTAGGCTATCCTCTCAAAGCTCATCTCCAAGGAATCTTATGAGCCACTTTACTGCCAGTGTGCTGTGGTGTGGTAAACAGAACAGGGCTTGATTTCAGTGAACCACTTAATTAATCCAGTAAAATCTTGTTGACAGTGGCTATTCATTTTAACGTTCTTTTCAAATTACACATTTTGTCTGGCACATAAATAGGCAGGCATTCAGCCAATCAGATTTTCAGTTTTTTGATTCCTGAATATCATTTTGAGACAAGAAACTTCAGCACATCAGGTACAAAAGGCCTACATGTATAGATGTTTTTTTTCCCCCAGCAGCCCCTCCTCCCACTCATAAAGGCTAATCATGCCTTTGTGCAAAGCTGCTATATACTGTACTGCCTAAAGAGAATATAGAGAAGACATTAATCATATGCTCAGGGATGTTCCTAAACTGTTCTGCCTCCTATACAAAAGAAGTGGAAAGATAATGAGACCTGAAAAAAGGGAAAGCGACAAGGGAATGGAAGGGAAGAGGGAGAGCGCAGAGGAAAGAAAGAGCTCTTCCCACTGCCGGTAATTAATCAGTACAGTAGCCGTATGCTGCCAGCCTGCACAATCATAATTAATTACACAGAAGAGCGCTCTTGGAACAGGAAGAGGACAGCACAGAGAGGAGAGCAGGAGGAGAGGAGGAATAAAGGGATTCTGTTCACACCGGGAGATTAGAATGTGGTGGGAAAGGAGAGAAATACTGAATCTCCAGACTTTACAGTTACTACATTTATTTGGCTAGCAAATAGCTTCGAATGTTACGAGCTACTCCAGTGATTTAGTACTGCACTTCCATAAAGTTGGAGGGCTTACAAGAGACAGAATCATCAATACTGGCTCAGCAGAGGCAGATATCCTGACTTTTACGCCTTAGAATCAAGAAAAGCTCTAACAAGACTGGATCTCACATTTCCCATAACGCAACTCAATAGCTTATCCTCATTAGACCCTCCCCGCCTGGTATACAGCCACACCTTTCAAATATCTAACCTCCAGTTTGTAACGCAGGCTTTCTGTAGTGTCTAAACTCAAACCTTTTTTGGTAGTTTGACAACACAAAGTTTTTTTGTAGGACAAAGCTCCTCCAGAGACAACGAAGACATTGTTTTTTACAGGCCGAGTAGTACTAACCTTAATGAGTAAGTTGACATTGGTGTGTAAAAAAGGTGTAGTGACTGTTTTCATAAAAAAATATTTTCTAATAAATACATTTTTGCTGTCGACAATGTTTTCCCTCTTGATGACCCTCAAAAGAGGGTTCAGAAATAAATTAAACACGCAAAGGTTAAGCACATTGATTCATTATCCGGTTAACTGACAGTAAAACTGTCAAGGACCAGTACAGCACAAGGCTGTAACGAAAGTTTATAGTCCCTTCATGCTACACACACAGAACATAAGAGATAATTACTTTATTATTTATATTCAAATACTAAATAATATAGACCTACACCATTATTTCATGTGGAAACAAAAAACAAATAGACCATGTGTCTTTCGTTTTTTGTTTCAAATGAAATTATGAATTGACTGAAGTAGACCTCTTCATTCTTCAAGTCAAAAAGGAGTAATGATAAAAGGAATCGCCAAAACAGACTGATTTTGAATGGTTTTTGATTCCGATTTTTTAATTACAAATTAATGATGGATTATCCAATGATACCCAGACCAAAAAGGAACATTTCTGTCTTCAGATAATGGTCATACATAAAATGATGTTACAAGAGTGAAAATTGTGAAAGTTAGAGCAAGTTGAGAGAGTTTTACCGAAATGTTTGTCACATTCCCACCCATTATAAAATCTGAAACGGTCTTTAAAAAACAAAAAAAATCACAGTTTACATTTTGTGATAGCTACCAAAATGCCCATTTAGCACAATAAAGTCCCAAGTCTCGTGACCCGTTTGAAGAGGTGGTATTATGCTTTTTGGCTTTTTCCCTCTCCTTTATTGACTTATTTCTCTTTTTTGTGCATGTAACAGGTTTGCAAAGTGTCCAGCCCAAAGGGAGTTCCCATCTCCCACAGAAAGCTCTGCTCTGAACCGCTTGAAAACAGCTCGTTTCTAGTCCAGCCCTTCACTTCCTTTACTTGTGACGTCACAATGAAAACGCGTCATAAAGCTTGCCAAGCGGCTAGCGGGGTCAGGCACGCCCTCAAACCAAGCTAGTCTGAGCGGAGGCCCTTTGGCTCGACTCGCTTTTGTTTGGTTTTCCATTGTAGAAATGTTGCACCTGTACCTGCTTCCAGGTACTTTTTTTCGTATCACCTCACCTCCATCGAGGTTCCAAGCAAGCTGAGGGATACTAAAATGTAACGTGAAAACAGACAGACTGCTGATTGGTCAGAGAGAATATTCACTATTCACTGCATCATCATTGCTGCACCAGACAGAGGCCAGCAACAGGAAGTTTTATATTTTACAGTTTTCGTATGGAATTTCATTACTAAATGTTGCATTGAACATTACGTCGCCCCTGAAAATGAGCATAATACCACCTCTTTAAACCCAAAGAAGAGCGGGTTTGAGCTATATCACAATGATTTCCCAGTTGAGAAAGTTACATGGGTTGAAGTCAGAAAATCTTTAAAAAAACGGAGGATCATTGGGTGACATCACAGGTCATGTGACACACTAAGCAGCGCAATACACACCCATTATAAACTCAGAAAAGGACCAAAAACAGCATAAAACTGTGATAATTACAAAAAATAATAAATATATATATCAAAAGGCTGAGTTTAACAGCTTAAAGTCAGGAGTAATGCATTTTTAACATCTTAATGTAGGGACTCCCATAAAAGTTAGAAAGAGTAGTTTCCATCATATCAGGGGTTACTGTCCAGCCACATACAACAGCATTATGAAGTGTCAGCCTAACCCTGCCGAACACTCACCCTTCGCTCATCTGTGACAATGTAGTGGCGTCCATGCTTCTTGGTCAGATGTGGTGCCAGGACATCAAAGCGCCTGCGGAACTCAGAAAACACCATGTGGTCTGGGTATCCTGGAGGCAGGGAGAAAGCAGAACAGAGAGGAGGTCAGTGGAACGTCTGCAGCTAGTGGAGAGCCAACAATGTTCAATGGTCAACTTTTATTTTCAGGAGAAATACAGGCAAAAAAAAACAACAAGAACACTTCAAAGCTGTCAACAAGACAATGTTGTGAAGGTTTGACAGGTGAAAATGTATGAGGTCACAGGGGGTTCTCAAGCTTTTAGAAAGGCACAAACAGTAGGAAGGCCTATGGGAATACATTGGGACATAGGGCTAAGGGATCTGAAAGTATACACTTTTGAATGAAGACAGTGGAAATAATTGTGCCTTTTGACAGTAACAGCATTGGGATAAAGTTATTGCAACAGTTTCAGATTCTCTCTGGAATCTCTGGAAGTTAAATTCATCACTGGATCCAAATGATTTGGGCAAGAAAAGAAAGAAGGTATAGTTCATATTTTATTGACACCATCAGAAAGACAGCTGAGTCATGGAGGAGTTTGAGAGCAGGTTAAGCTTCAGGAACTTTGAAACATTAAAAGAGAAAACTGACTTCTGTACCAGACAGTAAATCTGAGATCAAAATTTAATCCATGAGAATGTATCATTGTTTTATGGACGTTTTCCTACCCCGTTAAAACCAGTATTATCCTGACTTTTAGTGACTAGTAAGTCACTTTATTAACAATAACTTTATTTCTATAACACCTTTCATAAACACAACAAAATGATTCATATGTGTACTTACTAATAATAGCATGGAATTCACTAATAATTTCAGGGAATGGTCACACTTAATTCAAACATACTAAATAACAACAACATAAACTTAAGTAATATGTGGAACTCCTTGGTGCAGGATAAGAAACTGAAATTACAATGTAAAGCAATGTCATGCAGTCAGGACTGGGGATATACTGCATGTTCTCGCCAACCGCAGATGAGCAACTGCTGCAATATTCAGGTAAGTCAAGGCAAAAGTAGGTGGAGGAGTGGATCATTTTTGGGGAGAACTGGTTTAAAATACTGCTGATTTGTGAGTAGCCAAACTGAACAATATAATCATAATAAACTATTTATAGAGCACTTATCAAAGCAAAGTACAATGTGTTTCATAGAGACACCAAGAGAAGGATGAAATGAAACTACAGGGCATAATAAAAATACGAAATAAAAAATAAAGTAAACAGGCGGCTCAGATAAAAATCAGGATATGGTTTCTGATAAAAGTGCGTTTTTAGAGGAGACTTCAAAGAAGACACTGACTCTGACAGTCTAATTTCTTCGGGCAGGTCATTTCAGAGCCTCGGGGCCTTGACAGCCAAAGCTCTTTACATTTCAGCCTGTATTCAGGGAGAAACAGGAGACCCCTGCTCAGGTGTGATAAGACCGTACCACTTGGTTCTGGTCAAAAGCCGAGCAGCTGAGTTCTCCACAGTCTGTAGTCTTTTCAAGGTTTTTGATTAAGACTAAAGAAGACGCTGTTGCAATAATCAAGACATGAGGAGTAGGAACAGTTTCTCTATCTTTAACATTTATTTAAGCAATATTTCTGAGGTGATAAAAACATTACTGGACAGCTTAGTGATGTGTTGCTCAAAACGTAAAGTGCTATCAAACAGGGGTGTTTGGTGTAAAGCTGATGATACACGGGGCAACATTTTGAGCAATCTCGCTGGTGGCAAGTCCAACTATGTTTTGAACGGATAGCGGTGGTGCGGGGAGGGTGGCTGAGTGATGGGGGAATCTTTACTCATTACCACTGACAGCAACATTGCCCAGCACCATTGCTCTAAAAAGTTGCTCCGTGTATCATCAGCTTAAGGCTTCTTGCAACAGGCTTGATATGTTGTGATAGGTGACCAGTAGATGGCAGTATTTGTTTTCTGATATGTTGGGGCCCAATAACAAGGATTTCTGTTTCATTAGAGTTTAGCTGAAGAAAATGTATCGAAATCCAGTTTTTATATCTGCCAGGCAGTCCTGTACAACTGTGTGTCATCTGCATAACAATGAAAGGAAACACCATGTCTACAGATCACATCATCCAGGGGGAGCATATGTATGGAAAACAAAATTGGTCCAAGAACTGACCCTTGAGGCACACCATAAATGATGTGGGAAGAGGCAACATGAAGCTGTTAATAGAGACACAATAGAAATGCTTCAGTGTATCTAAAAGAATGCCATGATCACTTTTGTTGAAGCGCCAGAATTGAACACAGAAGAGATTATAAATCAGTGTTCACAGACTGAGTGGCCCTCCTTAGTAAACTGACCATTTTAATTGCATTCTTGGTATTTAAATAAAATAAAAATTAAAAAACAAGATTTCCACAAGTACTTCATTACCTTGCCTGTAGATGCGCAGCGCATCCAGCAGCTTGGATCCTCGGAGCTGAGCTCTCAGGAGGCCTACGTCCAGAGTCATAAGGCCCGACTCGGGGCTCTCTCCTTGCACAACACGGGGCTCACCTCCTCCACCCACTGCCTCTGCTTTGGGCAGCAGGCAGTGGACGAAGTGAACCCTGGAGCGACGCACCATGTCAATCAGAGCATCCTAAAAACAGAAAGGACTCAGATATCAGCTTCTGCTTGTTGACAGAACAACAGTCGTTCTTTCTAATAGTTCATCAACTTCATTGTGGCAGTTTGTGCTGGACTGCGAACCACTCTACATGCAACCTACAGCAGCTGCATGAAGCAACTCAATAATTTTCTTCAAGGCCCTGCATTTATCACCACTGATCAACGACACAAAGAATATTACATCGTTTTTAAATAGTAATTTAAATAGACCAGCGAGGAAACGCAACGTGCGTGCTGCTATCGGCCGCACAGCAGGCACGCAAAACTCTGCACAAGACCGGTGAATGGCAGGCGAGCAGAGAGAAAAGGGTCAACAATAAGACTCAGTTAGCTGGAAATGTACAGTGTAAGTTACAGTGACTAATAAATAGAGACTACAGCTCTGCAGCTTCTCAAGAATAAAGTGGAACTACTGTGTATCAACCCCCCACAACTGCCGCACACAAACACTGTACATGACTAAGTAAATATGTAAATCCTTAGTCGGGGACAGCCCTACTTTATATACTTACATTTCTTTAATTTCATTACACTTACAGTATTTTGTTGCTTATATGAAACAATGACATGAACAAACTTTATGTTTTGAAATGTCTTTGAATAAGTAAAGGAAGTAACACTTTTTTCTCTCCCAATACTGATACAAACTTCAAAACTTAATGACTTCAAAATAATTTTACCAATTGACACTGAAAATTACAACAAAAACAAGCGATCACAGTAAATTACTTCAGCAGTGACAAAGGACCAGTCTGTAAAGTTGACAGGAAAGGTTATTTTAGCAATGAGGTACAGGTTTTAATCACCGGGTCCTCCACTTACCACTTGGAGTTTGACCTGGATACACAGGCTCTTCTTCTTGACGGCAGCCACTCCTGTGGTGAAGGTTTTCCTCATGCTGGTGGCTCGTCGCAGGGCCAGCTGGGAGCTTCCCTCTAGACCTGCGATGGAGCCCGACAACACTGTGGCCCCGCTGGCCCGGCCCATAAACAGCCCGCTGATGTTCTTCCTGTGGTGGCAGAAGAATAGATTTTTGTTTGTTTGTTTGGCCCGTTATTTGGTAGAAGAGCTGAAGAGAGAGGAGAAAGAGGGGATGACATGCAGCAGAGAGCCATGGGTTGAACACGGGCAGCTGCAATAAGAATTTTAGCCACGTACATGATGCGTGAGCTAACAGGTGCTCCAAAGGGAGTACATTTGTATGCATACACATGATTGACATGTTTTTCTTCATCACTGTATCAGCCAGTAATTGGTACTACAATCTACACGGAGCTAGTCTGACTGCATCCATAGCAAATTCTACAGTTTGGAGACCCATATGTTGGCGGGCTGCTCCCTGCATCATTTGGCTTACTGTGTTGCCAACTGCTCTCAAACTGTGGACCTCTCTTTTTCTAAATCCTTATGGATACTGGAAGTCTGACTGTGACTTGGATTAATTGCTATTTGCAACTACACATGTGCATTGTGGTGGACATGAACAAATTAAGTACAGTAGATCTTGATTTTCATAGAGAACCATGTGGCTTAGAAAATGCTTGTAAATTAAAATACATACAAAGGACAGCCCCTGACAGAAGCTGAGGTGATAAATTCAGGAAATTCAAAATTTACTGGGGTTCAACTTGTGGGTTTATAGTTGAACGTGAAGATTTTTAATAAACATGCAGACAACTCTCTTCAAGCTACATTTCACCTGCTCTTATGAATGTATGTCGTCACCTGAAAATGCAGCATCTTTTAACAAGTTCACATGCATACATACCAGCAGCATCGCACATTTCTCATTAATTGTCAGTATTTGTCAGTCTGATAAATGAGATGTGTTTGTTTAAATGATAAATATTTATCATTTAAACAAACACATCTCATCCGTCATAGTAGAGAATTGTAAAATATGAGCGGTGACAGTTTGTGAGTTTGAGAGTTTGCCGTCGCTCATATTTTACAATTCTCTACTATGACGGATATTACAGGGATGGGGCATTTGTCCCAGGAAAGTCATCTGGTGCACAGGAAGCATTATAGTTTTATTCTTTCAGTAAGCAATTACATGAGAGAAGTGGTTGATTTAAACAGATATCCCAAAAAAACACAGTAACATTGTCACAACAGACTTAGCTCTTATAAGCGTTACGTGGGGTGTGTGTGATTGCTGTTAGTGGTCATACTTCTGGGAGTCCTGCAGTAGTGTGGCAGCGTTCTGGGCAGCATGGTTGTGCTTGGCATGGCTCAGCCAGCCCTGAGCATTGTACTCAACCCAGTCTGTCCCGTGGCTGTGGCCCAGCAAGAAGAGGTGGGGCTTCTCTCCTCGCAGCAGCAGACTGGCTCCTGCAACACATGCACATGGGAGAAGTTAGCCTTCAAGGTTTTCTGCCAGAAGGAAGTCAGGTGACGTAGTCAGGTGACGCAGTATTAAAATAAAATTAAAGCTGCAAGCAGCGTTGGGCGGGCCCTCGCACTTGTAAGCGCGTCCGCGTGTGAGCCGGCCGAGTTGCATATTCTGGAGCTCTGCCGGTGCGGCTGTGAATTTCCTACGCGGTTATGTCGCCGCATGAAGGTGCTATATGTCACTTCCTGTGTCCCCTATGTGGAGCTACATAGCACTTGCCGCTATGAATATAAATCGGTAATGGTGTGTAGATGTCTGCGGGGTGGGAGAGTTATCAAGCACGTAAAGTTTGTTTCAGATGTGGGCATGTACACTGAACAATAATGTACCCAAACAATAAAATAAATTCCTTTTATATTTCCCTGCCTTGTTGTTTATGTGTACATACAGAGGAAGAATGTGATAACAGCACACATTTCATCGTTACTGTGTGCTGTACTGCAGTTCTGTGTCCATGCATGCAGCAAACTGAAAGCACTGTCTGTCGGAGCGTCTACATGAAAAGAGAAGGAAGACATGGCTGGTAGTGTCTTCAGAGTTGTTAAACACCTCAGCGCACTGAAGGAAGCCATCTGACTGTGTGAGGGGCAAGATCGTTGATGTCTGCAGGCAGAGTAGGCCTAGAGCTCTCCTGTCTGACTGGTCCACCAATAGCAGAGAAGATGACCCCTTGAGACACAGCCCCTCCTCATTTGCATAATGAGGCAGAAATGCATACAGAAATTTAAAAAGGACAGGCAGAAATAAATACCATGGGTGAAAATAAATAAGGTAGAAAAATACAAAGGAAGAATAAAACAGACAAAAATATTAAAACACACACATAAATAAATATATTAAAAAAATTAGTAATAAATAAAGTTGAAGATTATAAGGGAGAATAAATAAATAAGGTGATTATAACAAAGGTGAATAAGTAAAGGCACTAATTAAAATATATACATTTATGTCTCCTTGCATAATTTAATTAATACCAACATTTATTTATTTACTTTATTTTTTTGTGTATTTAATTGGAAGCTTATTTATTTATTGAGCATTTATTTATTTCTGTATTTATTTCTGACTGTGTCAGGATCGGTCCTCCATAGTGGGGTGGGAGAGTTATCAAGCACGTAAAGTTTGGTTCAGATGTTAGCATGTACACTGAAGTTACAACAACTTCCTGTGTCATGGCGAAGACTTGATCTTTGACGCCACGCCACGGACACACCCATTGACGAAAACTCGCAAATAGCACAACTTTTCATCTTCAATGCCTTTAGAAGGCACAGCACAAATTTGAAGTCGGTCGGACTAAATCCCTAGGAGGAGTTCGTTAAAGTACGAAGTGTGTAAATCATCCAAAATTTGACGTAAAATTCAAAATGGCCGACTTCCTGTTGATTTTAGGGCATCGCTCCGAGAGGCTTTTTTGTGCGTCTGGACAAGATACACGTACCACAGAAAATTCGTGCACGTAGGTGAAACGTGCGGCGGGGGCTGCTTCGTTAAAAGTCACTTCCTTTTGCCAGCAGGTGGCGCTATGACTGTGGGTGAATGTCAGCATGTACATGTGTTCAGGGCGGGACTCTCATCCTACATGTACAGTTTGGTGCAGATGTGAGCATGTACACTGAAGCTACGACAACTTCCGTGTCATGGTGAAGAGCTGATCTTTGACGCCACGCCACGGACACGCCCATTGACGAAAACTTGCAAATAGCACAACTTTTCATCTTCAATGCCTTTAGAAGGCACAGCAGAAATTTGAGGTCGGTCGGACTTAATCCCTAGGAGGAGTTCGTTAAAGTACGAAGTGTGTAAATCATCCAAAATTTGACGTAAAATTCAAAATGGCCGACTTCCTGTTGGGTTTAGGCTATGGCTCCAAGAGACTTTTTTGTGAGTCTGGACAAGATACACGTACCACAGAAAATTCGTGCACGTAGGTGAAACGTGCGGCGGGGGCTGCTTCGTTAAAAGTCACTTCCTGTTGCCAGCAGGTGGCGCTATGACTGTGGGTGAATATCAGCATGTACATGTGTTCAGGGCGGGACTCTCATCCTACATGTACAGTTTGGTCCAGATGTGAGCATGTACACTGAAGCTACGACAACTTCCGTGTCATGGCGAAGAGTTGATCTTTGACGCCACGCCACGGACACGCCCATTGACGAAAACTTGCAAATAGCACAACTTTTCATCTTCAATGCCTTTAGAAGGCACAGCAGAAATTTGAGGTCGATCGGACTAAATCCCTAGGAGGAGTTCGTTAAAGTACGAAGTGTGTAAATCATCCAAAATTTGACGTAAAATTCAAAATAGCCGACTTCCTGTTGGGTTTAGGCTATGGCTCCAAGAGACTTTTTTGTGCGTCTGGACAAGATACACGTACCACAGAAAATTCGTGCACGTAGGTGAAACATGCGGCGGGGGCTGCTTCGTTAAAGGTCACTTTCTATTGCCAGCAGGTGGCGCTATGACTGTGGGTGAATGTCGGCATGTACATGTGTTCAGGGCGGGACTATCATCCTAGATGTACAGTTTGGTCCAGATGTGAGCATGTACACTGAAGTTACAACAACTTCCTGTTTCATAGCGAATCATCGACGCCACGGACACGCCCATTGACGAAAACGCGCAAATAGCACAACTTTTCATCGTCAATGCCTTTAGAAGGCACAGCAGAAATTTGACGTCGATCCGACTAAATCCCTAGGAGGAGTTCGTTAAAGTACGAAGTGTGTAAATCATCCAAAAATGGCCATAAAATTCAAAATGGCCGACTTCCTGTTGACTTTAGGCTATGGGTTCTTGAGGCTTTTTTATGCGTCTTGATATGATACATGTCCCCAGAAAATTTCGTACATGTAGGTTGAACGTGAACGAGGGGCTAATTTTTTCCAATTTTCTAGGTGGCGCTAGCGAGTCATTTTGCAACGCCCATGTGCGAAACTTGTAGAATACGAAATTTTTCACCGGTTCGGACACGTTTGCAAATTTTGGTGAGTTTTCGAGAATGTTTAGGCCATGTCAGTTGAGCCTACTTTGCAGAAAAAAAAAAAAAAAAAAAAAAAAAAAAAAAAAAAAAAAATATAATCCGAGCAAATTCAATAGGGACCTCACACGGTCGTGCTCGGGCCCTAATAAAAAACTAAAGCATGCTCTTTTCCTAAACCTAACCAAGTACTTCTGGTGCCTAATCAGTAGCAGTTTGGTTAGGTTTAGGTACCCTATTATTAATAAGGTGGTGCCCTGATGGGTGTTTATTTAGTAGTGTTTCTCCTAAACAGGAGTATGATCATCCAACCTTCAGGAACCTTCTGTTGATGGCTTCAGCAAACAGTGACAGGCTGAGTGCTCACCTTTTTTTTCTCCCTGTGCAGTGCCATAGTAGTTGAAGAGTCTCTCCAGCATGGTTTCCTCTGAACCTCCAGGCTGAACAGCCTCCTCCTCCATCAGCCAAAGAAGGCCCCGAGCCTCATCTGTCCTGGCCAGAGTACGCACCTGTGAGGGAAACCAACAGCCACAATTGTCCCAGACTGTATCTTTCACAATCACTCTTCTTTGACCTTGAAGGAAAAAACCCTGAGGTGTCTGTGATGTGAAGATGTGTGTAGAAATCTTAATTCATAAACAGGACTTTTACTTCCCTGGACGTCTGTCTTTTCACTTCACTATGTATCTATAGCAAATTCCATTCCATTTCAAAGGGTTGCTTTAATTTTTATACACATATCAAAGGATGAAAATATGTCATGTTAATGCATTTTCCAATTATTTTCTTTTTTGGGGGTTATATTTGCCCTTTCTATTCTTGAGTGAAGTCAAAAATATTCTCCTGTGAAAATGCCTGTTTATCAATCGTCAACTCAAGCAATCACATCATTTCAATTGAGAGGGCAAACATGGCACATAAACTAGCTTTAATCATTTTTCCTCCTAGGCTTATTAGGGTTGGGCAGACAGACGATGCCATCGTCCATCGCTGATGGCTAACAGACAATGTTGAGCAGGCATCGTGATTTTTTTTAAAATGGCCCTTAAATTCTCACAGACATTATTATTATTAGCCTATTATTTTTTTTAAATATAACTGCTTTGCACCTGCTTCAGACTTCTCCACACAGTTACACACACCTACACCTCTGGTCTCTCACTGCAAACACACCTGCTTGCCCACCTCTCTCTGTCTCTCTCTGCTCCCCTGCCTTTCTCCTTCAGCAGTATGTTTTATAAACTCACCCAAAAGACACTGGAGTTTTCCCCCCATTATCAATTTTCATGCCAGCAGGTGCTCTGCATGCCGGCTTGTTAATGACGTAGCCCATCAAACAACCGAAACCAACATCTGCACTCTGTGTGTTCACTGCTGCTGTACCTGCTCCCTGCTTGTACTGTGACCAAGACTTGTACGTAATACAATATAAGACGACTGCTACCGCTATTCTATTGATCTATTTTCATTAGACTACCAAATTAGTACCTGCTATCAAGCAATGTTAATGAGAAAAGGGTGCCCCATTGAATAACTCAAACCTGTATATTGTTCACTGTACAAAGATTAAATGTATGATGGTGAGCGAAACGTCTTTAGTAGAGGTCTTCACTTGTCATCTGGGCTCCTAGTAACTGAGACTCGAGTTAGGGTGGGACCAGATTATATTCAGTCTAATCAGGAATGGTAGGATTCTGCTCTGGTTCTTTATTTGGGTATTTTTGGGTCAATTGCATTTTTGAGTGGATCTAATCATCTTCAGGTTTTGTTTCAGACTCAGTCACGTCTCTATTTTTGAAAACTATTTATGCACCTTGGTTTTGGGTAGGTTTTCTATGGGACTGTTTAAAATCAGTGAAAAATTTGGGACCCATGAAGATTACAGTAGTAATGAGTGAACTTAAAAGATTATTTTCACAACTGTGATTATATGGTAGCTTTAAAATACATTGATCTGGTCCTGGAGTGAATTTAAGGGCATAACCCTAACAAGACACAAGTCAGCCAACATGTTAATTATCTATATACTGCAATCTCATTTAATAGGATTAAAAATTTCTCTCCCAAAAAAACAACATCATAACTGCTGGCTTCAACATGATCTAACTTTCCATGGCTATATTCTGCTGTCCAAAGCAGAACGTATTTTGCATCAACTGTTATGGTAAAGCTTAAGTAAAATACTTTAAGTACCATCACTTTTTTCTTTGTAAATCAACTAAATCAAACATTGCTCGAAATATGATAACACCCCATGTTTTGTATCCTGAATGTGTTATTTTTAAAAAATGAATACAATTTGAATTTATAGTAAATGCAATAAGCTCCCTGTCAAACTAGCAAACTTGATAAACAAGCTTTGTATGCGCCAACACTACCCCATACACAGCAAATTAATGCAATGAAAATGCTCTTCTTGTCAGTCTAAATGTTAGAATCTTGCTCCCTGACTACTATTTGTTTAGAGGGTGGCTGGCCCACATTAAGCCAATGGAATTCTTAAATCTGTGTGCTTGGCACAGAGCAGGCTTGTTAAATAAGGAGGTGGAACCTCTGCAAATAGGCAGCCATTGATGAAAATAGAAAGTTAACTGACTCTCAAGGCCTCTCAAAACAGAAGCACTGTATTGTGTGGCTGAAACCTAATTAGCAGCAATCTGGATCCTTGACAGAGATAGATACTAAACAAGCTAGCTGTTGACCAGAAATCACAAACCACTGATTTCCCTTTGCTACCTGTATCATTTCATACCAAGTGAGATATAATGTCCTGCCATGTCTATGTCTAATTAAAACAAAATACATTGTTTCTTGTTGCCTTTAGAAGGACCCATATAGATGTATTTTGATCTCAGAATCAGAGCTTTATTGTATTTTACACATGCAAGAAATCTACTGTGATGATAAGGTGCTACTTGTAGACAAACAAAAATACAGTCGACATAAATGTAGCACCTATAGGTGTATTTGTTTTTATTTTTATATATATATATATATGTGTTTTTTGATCTGTTGCCTCTATCAGTAGGAAGACATCATTTGTCAATGGCTCCACATAGGTTTGATCGCAAAGACTACTTGGTTAAGTTTAGACAACCTAATTAGCACTAAACACAAAGTACAATTGAGGCCGAGCTATCAGTTGTGCAGGTACTTGGTCGTAAACCAAAGTTGTGGACAAACTGAAGGTGTGGCCTGATGATGGCACTAGATGAAAAGCCTAGGAATCAGAAATTTTCTTACTATTCGTCGTACATACACATATGTCACAGCAATCCATCAGATATTTATTTAGTTCTAGAAATGTCCATTTAGAAGGTATTCTGATACCTGATAGGATAAGTGACAACCTGCTGGTGCCACTATAGGAGCCGATCAACCGACCAACCGACTGACTGGACAAAAACAACACGGTTAGAAACAACTGCTTTGTTAAGGTTACGGAACCTAATCATGGTTAAAAGAAATATTGTTTGATTCATTTGTGATTTTTTTGAAAGATTATTTCCTGATCTACCACTGCTATGATTAAGGCTTGGTTTGGTTTGGTTTAGGAACAAAAGCTATTTTTGGCAAAGATTGTGATTTTTGTTAGGGAATGCTCTTCCTCCAAAAAGACACGTGAGCATTTCCTAACATCCCTAACAACAGCGCATCATCAGTGCCTTCAGAGGCCGTTAAGCTAAGAGAACCTTCATCATTGTGGTTACAAGTACAACACTGTTTAGAACATAACAACTGCTATCATGGTTCAAGGAAACCAACATTAACTGTCTATAACTTTGATGAGCTACCCATCCACCTTGAACTCCTCCCTACAGGTTTTGGGGCTAAATAACAAAGCTATGCTGCTTCTACCTTTGCTGCTGATGGTGATAAAACTACACAGTCTATGTGGTTTCCAGTCCACACACACATACACAGTAGTATATTTACCCTTGCTATTTACAGTCAACCTTAACACAATCCTACACACAGGCAAATTGAATAAAACATTTGTTAATGCCACTTGTTTAAGCTAATACACATCACTACTGCAGCTTTTCTGCAAAGGCCAGGCGCCACACACATCTGTACCACTGACAATTAAACCAACTGTTGGGAAGAGAGAGAGAGAGCCTTTTCAAGCCAACAAAAGGGAATAAATCACAAACTTGATTCCAATCAATATTGCTATTGGACAAATGACAAAAGGAAATTGAGCATATAAGACAAAATGAACCACAACGCTGAAGAGCCAAACTAATTGGATGGAGGCAACATGCCTGGTATACAAAGTCATTGTCTGCTTTTGTCTCTATTTAAAGATAAAGATTTTGTTTGAATAAAATGTCATGAGTTTAAACAACAAACAACTGGCAGGAGAACAGTAAAATAACACTTTCTGTAGGACATGCACATAAAAAAATTCTGAATTAGCCCTCACTTTAGAAATGGCAGAGCTTGTTAAAAGCTACTTCAACTGTATTGTAGTGCACTTCATAGAAAATATTAAAACACAAGTTCCAATTGACATTTTGATTAAAAATGAAGTATTGTGATCATGCAAAAAGGATACTGTAAGCAAGTTAAACAGGAAGACTCTCCCCAGCCTCTATGATGACATTCATAAAAGTCAAATCTTGTGAAACTGACCATTTTAAAAATGAACCCTAAAAAACCTATTTCCATTTCATTTTTGTTAGAAACCTGCTAAAAATACAGCATTTAAAATTGAACTAAAGGCCAATTAGCAATTTTATTTCCTAGTTTGCCAACTGGAAAAGAGAAGTCAACTTCACATTTACCTTTATTTTGGCAGTGTCATGTTTAGGAGTACACTGAATTTATGTGTAACATTTTTCAGATTTTCATACATCGCGCACACAAATGCAAAATAAAATGGGCAGCCACAGACTTCCAAGGAAGTTATGTTTAAACTGTTAATGGAGAATTGCACTTCTGATGATTGTTTATTTCTATGTATGTTTTGATGTAAAACCAAATGCAGATTTATTTTGTTTGAGATTTTCTATTTATCTTAGGGAATACTGGGTGTACTTTCTGACTTTCAAACATTTATTCGTAGTTTAAATCATACAACTGTACAGAGGCCACAGTGGAATATTTACCTGCCACCACTATAATAAACTGATACACTTAAACAAGACAAGTTGCTGCTTGATGCAGTAGTGTCATCCCAGAGTCAAATTAGCACAGAGCACAGTTTTCCTTCCTGGATTCTCAGATCTGGTGGCTTTCGGACACATTGCTATTTGTTGGCTCAGTGGTATCTTAGAGCCCTTAATTTACATTAATGTTCTCATTGAATAAAGTAAAATCACAGGCCCAAATAAAGTACCCTTAAATCTGAATGCCTCAAGGCTTCACTGAACACAAACAGAAACTTAACATGTGCTGTTATCAAGATCACTCGTCTCTCGCGTCAGGTTTCAGGTAGGAGCAGACCACGACGACATGACAGAGATGCCTGAAACAAAGACAGTGTAGTGAGGTGTCATGTGCTTACCAGAGCTTGGGTTGAGGCTTGGTCAATAGCTGCTACAGACAGTGAGGTACTGGATTCTATGTCATCTAAAGCAAGCTCTATGTTTTCCTAGAGGCAGGAGGGGATAAAGGCTTAGGGTTAGTAACCTACAGGAGATTTACCAGAAGAAGAGATCATCAATAAATCACAAGTGGCTATTCAGTTCTATCCTAAAATTAACCATTAGCTATAGACTGTTGATTGGTTGTTGTGTGTGTTGCAATTAGCACTTTTCTGACATTTTTAACAAACTTTGAGAGCACTATAATTAAGTTAACTTGTCATTGAATAAAGTGAACTACTGTGAGTAAACGTGAAAGGATAGAGATTTGTTTGACTATGTAAAAAGTTTGTCTGGATCTGTGTGTGTTATGAAGTAACTTTAGACAGTCCACCACTTATCAACATGTGAATATGAATTAAAGAGTTTTTGTGTATATATGCAGGTCACGATGCTATATTGCTTGTATATACATATTTTCCCAGTTAAGTCTAGTGGTATCTATTAATTCAGATTGTTTTGGTTTATTTGTCCAGGTTTTTGAGATGACTCCTTCCGAGATTTCAGTTTCCACTCAAAAGAATGGAGGTGAATGGAATCCAGGATAATCCCCAGACCTTAATGTGAATGGTTTTCATTGGAACTACTTGCAACAGTAACAGCCCATAAAAAACGGTTGAACACAGTATTTTCTGGGGATTAAATTTCCAATGCCGTTAGCACCAAGGAATTTCCACTGGCTTCCATTGTATTGCAGCAGGCATCTAAAAACTGACCAACCTGACTTACCAAAACTAGTTGCCACTAGAGGTGAGCGAGTAAATAAAAAGACAATATATAATTTTGTTGTAATTTCAACAAACCAATCATTTCAAAGGGTATATGTGATTATATTTAATATTACAGAATACAAATAAAGCTACTGTGCTATTATGTGTACGTTCTGTTCATGCCACTGCTTAGTGTCATGTTCTGTCGGCTCAGTAGCACCTCCTTGTATCTCTCCAACTCTTGGACGAAGGTCCGTTCATGGAACAGGGTCTGCAGCCTTTCCTGGGTGTAGTTGTGGCAGAGCTCCTCAAATGTGGCTCCCCGCTGCTGCTGAGCCCGCCGAGGGTTCTGAAAACCCGGGGTGTCCACAATCAGCAGGGAGCACAGAGAGTGTTGACTGGACTTCAGAGCCCTGAAGGACACAAATATATCATGACGCTTGTATTGTAAAGCCTTAATACAGTCTACCGACTTTTGTGTGGGGCTATTTGTGATTTTTGTGTGTGTATAAACACACACACATATATATCTCAACTTGGGGGAAACTGCGCTGCTGTCGTCGTCCTGTACTCTAGATGCTGCTTAAAGTTAATGTAGAGATTATTATTTTTTATTTCAAGGGCTATTTGGGATTTTGGAGTAATGCTTATAGTACATAGTAGTAAAGGGGTTTTCAAAGTGTGAGGAGGGCCTCCCTTTGGGGGGTCCAAACAGTTTCAGGGGAGGTTCAGTGAATGGAAATGAAACAATATTACATCACTTATTGCATTTGTTATCAAAAGGAAATCACATAGAATAGCCTACATGTGTGAGAGTTGCACATGCACAGTACCTAGTTAAGGACTACTAGCCAATCAGAAGCAGAGAAGGGCGGGTCAGCAAAAAGACGGTAAACAGCTTTGATTCAGCTGCATGTTGCCGACCAGGTTGGCAATTTGGACTGAAGCAAGAGTTTCAGAGTGGTGAGTTATTAATCTGTAACAAAAGTATCTTTCATCCATAAAGTTTTAACTGAGCTCTGTCTCTACATCACAGTAACAACTTTATGTCCACTGACTGCCTGGAGGGTAGCTAGTGTTTGGAAGGGAGAGGAGAGCTGTGTGCTGCGGCTCAGTGTTTTTCCATCTGTGTTTTTGAGGGCGTGTCGGAGTAGCTGCTTGGCGAGCGTTATATGACGCACATTTCGAAGCAGCTAGACTACAAACGAGCTGTTTTCAGGCAGTTCAGAGCAGAGTTTTCTGTGGGAGATGGGAACTCCCTTTGGGCTGGACTTTGGCTTTTTCACTTTGCAAACCTGTCACAACCTACATAAACATTTAATTTAATTCATGAAATTATAGAGCATTTGTTGTACGAAACTGCGCCTCTGCCTTCTTTCTGTACAGGCTAATGCTTCATTCTATATATATCTATATATATATATATTTTTTTTACTTGAAAAAACTTAAGCAAATTTAAAACCATTTCATAAGAGCGCATTATGACTTGTTTAGGATTCAAAACTCAAAGTTTGGGATTTGGACTTGACTTGGGACTTGTAAAACGATGACTTGGTCCCATCTATAGGAGTTGAGGTATGACGTTACACTGTTGTTAAAGGTTTGTAATCACAGAGGAATTTCCTTGTTTTTAAAGGAAATTCACCTTTTCTAAATAAAAATAATATTAAATTGAAATATAACTGCTAATGTGGTAAAATACCATTACTGTGGGAGAAGGCTGATTTTCAGCAACCATCACTCCTCTGTTACAATGGCACATTCTGTTACCTGATCCTAAATGCTCCTGTAAAAGACAAATTCTTCACAACAAAACACTTGTGCAATCAGGTTAGCACAACTGAAAACCCATTAGCTGTTTAAAAAAACAAACTGGCCTTCTCTGGGCAACTTGAGTATCTGAAGCAGTTTCTGCAGGTTCATTTATGGTCTCAAAATGGCCAGAAACAAGGAGCATTCTTTAGAAACTCAACATTCAGTTGTTGTTTTGAGAAAGGAAAGCTATTCCATGAGAGAAATTGCCAAGAATATCATAATATCATACAAGGGTGTGCACTACACACTTCATAGAATAGCACAAACTGGCTCTGTGGGAGGTGCCGGTGCACAACTGTCCAGGAAGAGAAATACGTCCAGGTGTCTAGTCAGAGAAACAACAAACGACTGAAACGGAGGATGACGGGAGAAAAGTGTTATGACAGATGAATCCAGGTTTGAGGTGTTTGGCCCCCACAGAAGAACTTTGTGAGTTTCAGAAACCATGGAAAGATGGTGGAGGAGTGCTTGATGCCATCTGTCGAGCATGTGTGAGGCAGAGTGATGGTCTGGGGGTGCTTTGGTGCTGGGAAAGTGGGGAATTTGCATAAAGTAAAAGGCATATTAAACAAAGAAGTCTATCATATCATTTTGCAACACCCTGCTTTCCCAAGTGGAGAGACCTGATTCGAGCCAATTTCATCCTACAACAGGACGATGACCCAAAACATTGATCCAAATGATGTAAACCCTACTTAGGAAAGAGGCAGTATGCTGGTATTCTCTCTGTTATGGACTGGCCAGCACACTCTCCAGATCTCAACCCTATCAAGCTGTTTCAGGTACAAGAATGAAATAATGAATGGATGGAAAGAACAGAGGGTTGGAGTTAAAACTAGGTAGGAAGAGAAAAAAAGAATACATGGTAGGAAGATATGATTCTGCATCCTGTGTGAATGTATTCAGAGAAAGAAACTTTGTATCAGAAGCTGTTTCTGAAAAACAGGTATATGTGGTAATGCCATCCAGTACTGTCATGAAAAAGAACTCCCAACAGGATCAAATAATAATGCATCATATTTATAGGTAAATATTGTGAGGTCTAACCTGTTAATGAGGGAGATGACAAGAGTGAAGAGCTCTGAGTAGAGTCCGGATGCCATGGCCTCCAAACACTCTAGAGCTGTTACCTTAGAGCCTGAGAGACATAGGGGGTTCAAGAAAAATCTGATCAGATTTAGAGCCAACAATAACAATATGAAGAACATCAAATTAGCCTAAAATCTAATCACTTCCAGCCACAGACCCCCAGTCTACAACGGTTTGTTCAGGGACAGTACAAATATTTTGGGGTTACATTTTTTCTCTTTTCAAGCAAAAAAATGTGTAAAGTGTATTTCTCCAAGGAAATATCGAGATAGCATCGGATACCTTGTACACAAACCTGGAAAACAACCACTTAAGGATGACCATCAATTTCCAAAAGCTGTCCCTAAATGATTGGTCTAATTCTTAGTCGTTTGTGTTTTTACAGGACATGTACAACCAATTCAGTATTTAAGAGTGTGGGTTAAGTAGTTTGGGTTTTTTACCTGAGCTGTCACCTTGGCCAGCCTCGTCAGATCCCCCTCTGAATGAGGTGGAGTGCTGCAGTCCTTTGGCCTGGTGCTTAAAGATAGAAGAGGACAGCTCCTCCAACGTACAGCCCAGCAGGTAAGCTGCCTTCTGGGCCCATTCATGACGGGCAAATTGCCTCCGCCCCGCTATAAAGAAAGAAAAATATGCAATAAGGACCTGAAGAAGAAAGGAAGGAAAGAAAGATAATAATAATAATAATAATAAAAAGGTCAGGTATAGAAAGATGAGGCAGTTGATCTACAGCTGGCAAAGCACAGACACATTCATTAATTACTTAAATCTTTCAACAATGGTTACTGAACTTTTGTGCTTCTCCTAACCCCATTTTCTATTTGTTAACTGATAAAAGAACTGTTGGATAAATGAGGACTTTATTGACTGGTTTTCTTACTGGACTTTCTGTATTTTTCAATCTCTAGGCGGAGGGGCAGAACCACCACAGAGTTGAAAAGCAAGTAGAAAAATTGCATTTCCTGCAGAAAATGCATGTGAATGCAGAAGTAGTAGCTGACCGAAAAACCTATGGAAGAAGAATAAATTTCGAAGCATTGCTGAAAATGCAGAAATCTGAAATGAATTACTTATTTTGAAATTCTAGCCCTGTTAATGGCTCTCCAGCAAGCTTATGTCCCCATCTAGAGCTTTTGAAAATTCATCCTCATCTGTGGTCACACGGTAAGCTCATGTTATCATTGGGGGGCTTTTACTTTGAAAATCCAGCCCTGTGGCTGGATTTTAGCTTTTATTTTTAAAATGAGGTCCATCTGTAGTTTCCTGTCATGATACAGTTACTTTTATTTTGAAAAATGAGCCTCATCCTGAGTTCCCTTATGATAATTCTATATTTTGATGACTCCTATATTGTATGGTTAGAGTTGAATAGACCTCATGATGCATAAATGTTGTGGAACATTTTAAGGGTTGAAGGTAAGTCATAGCTAAAGTATGAATAAAAAGATAAGATTAATGGTGGAAGAAGTACTTAGATATATTTAAGTAAAAGTACTACTACCAATTATTATGAATCTACAAAGTCCCTAGTAATTAATTAATAAATGTTGTTAAATAGTGATGATGTCTCTGAAGCATAAAAGACAAAATGCGATATTGGAAAAACTGTAAAAGAAAACAAGTTTAAAAGCTGAAGGTACTGTGACCAGTTTAAAGTTTAAATTACATCTGTAGCAGAAAGTATGCAGAACTAGTAGCATTTCAAAGTGGAGTAGGTTTGATGAACAGGATTTGAAGATTGTTCCATTGACTTAAATTGCAAAAACAAATTTGAAAAAAGATTACCACTTTAAAAATGTAAAAGGTAGAAAAATGTCCTTTAAGAACTGAACATTTTGATAGTTGAATGCTTTCTGTAGCTGAAATATGCAATAGTAGCAAAGCAAGAAATTGTGTAAAGATTTGAAAAACAATAGTGATTCAGCATTCCCCACCCCAGATTCCAAATGAGATATTTTAAGAAGGAATAGATCAGCTGTCACGGTCGCATTTCCACGCTTGTTGAACTTTTTCCATGTAAAATACAAGGTTAACGACAGCTGATGTTTAAAATGAGTGCCCACAGATAAATTGTCTTTTCTAACTGTACATCACATTTAATATTTCTGTGACCTGTGGCACTGTGCTAACCCACAGCAACCCCACGGAGGAGCTGCAACCAAACCACAATGCAGTTTCCCATTAAAGACCATGGCGGCCTGCCACAATTTAATTTGTTCTGCCATGGTTTTAGAGAGTTGGGTTGGACTTGAATTTAGCGCGAGGATACAATACAATTTTAGGGAAATTACTTATTCTATTTTCTATTCTTTGATTATAAGGTTGATGATGAGGTTGCTGGAAAAACATTAAATAAATGAGTTGACTTCTGTTGCTGTTTCATCACCATTTATAGCTATACAGTGGGTTTATGATTCAATTGTTTATTATAGCACAACATTGTTTACAAGAGTAAAAAAAGTTCTTCATAGCTAGCCTCTTAATTTAGCTTTAAACTTTAAAATTTTCTTTCGGCGGGGGCATGCCGAGGCCCACCCAGTCTCTTAAAATCCTGTGGGAATAAGGACATTTAACACTGCTTATCTACACACATCCTCTATTTCAGAAAGTAATTCTTACTCTCTTTAACAGTACTTACTTGAGGTTAACTACAAGAGATATTGTACTTTCATTGTCAAATTCTGTGTTGCACTTTGTTGGGTTGCAAAAATGTGGCTCCTCTCATAAACTTCTAATGCTAGTGAAACTAAGAGCTCTGCTGTGCATTTAAAAAGGCATCATAGGTTATCCACAGTAGGCATTTAAAAAAACAAAGTAAAAGCTTTTTAAAGCTAAAACTGTTTAACTGACGACACCCTGACTCTAAGTCTGTGTTTACACGAATGTTTGTTTGAGGAGCGCATCTCTTTAATCTGGAGGTGAAAGAATAAACCAAGGCGACATGACAGCCTGCACAGCCAGCCAATCAAAGAGCCTGAGAAATGAAAATGAATGAGCTTCACTTTGAGAATGTTGTAGTGTGACAGCGGCTCGGGGGTTGAATGTAGCTGACATGGGGAGGCATTAGAGGGAGCAGTTTAAAAAGGGAGACCAAAGTTCTGATGACCGTGATTTTAATCTCAAGAACAGAAAAGTGAGACAGGAAGTGCGGAGAATCGTCAAGAGCCAAACACGAAAACACAAGAGAATAGAAGATGAAGGAAGGAGGGGGAGAAGGAGCAGAAACAATAAAAATGCTAATGACTTAAGGCCTGGAAGGAATGATAAAGGCATTAAGACAGAAAACACAAACAAGAGAGGCTCTGAAATAAAGTTTTTTAAGTGTAAAACAGTTGTGTGTTTGTCCATTACCTTCATCTCCATCTGCGTTTGATAGGGAGCAGCATGCAAACATGCAAGTAAAGAGAGGGGGTTAGAGATAACACAGCTCATGGATTCATCAATTCATAGTCACAGGAAAAAATAACAATTAGCACTGAACAACACTGAAAACCCACCATCATGCTTTGCAAGCAAGCTGGGAAGTTAGACATGTCAATGTTGGAACCACAAGCCTTTGTTTTATAGCAGTGGATGTTAAATGAAACTCTTTGGACTGCCGGGAGTCCCTCAGGGGGTTTGTATGTGCTGATGACCTTTACTAACTACTTTTATCCAGGGTTGGGGAGTATCAGATTACATGTAACGGTGTTACGTAATCAGGACACAAAAAACAGTAACTGTATTCATTAAAATACAGAAAAAATACATGTAATCAGATTACAGGTACATTTTCTAAATTTGGGGATTTTGTAAATTGAGTCAGTAGCGACTAATGTGTTTTTACACCCCCACCCTGTCATGCAGACTCTGTGCGGACTGGTTCCAGCTGTCAGTGAGTGAACACGGCAGCCCGAGCGGGACCGAGCACAGCCTCTGAGACCAACAGAGCTTCTTCTAACTTCAGCACCAAGTAAAGTTATCTGTCCATCAGGAAACAGTGAATCATAGAGTTGAGGCAGAGCAGCCGGGAGACATCAGAGAGAAAACTAGAAATATATTTTATGCCTATTTCTAATATTTCTCTGTCAAATATGATCCAGGTTCACCAAAATCTGAGAAGACAGTTGTGTACAGTAATCAGTGGGGCCTGGTCCCAGAAACTGTACTGTACTTCAGCAGCTCACATTGAGAATCTTCTTAATACAACAAGCGCAGAATGAGTCATCAACATTTTAAAACGGTTTTCCAAATGACAAACTCTTAAATATCATCAAGAATACCTACAAAACACATTGTGCGTCATTGATGGGCCAGATACTGCCATAGTGGTGACATAGTGCAAGTATTTCATATAAAACATTTAAACATGGATTTTGTTTTGTGAATGGAAGATTTTGTACATTTCTCTAAAAATACACTGAGTAGAAAACGCATCATTGATACTCTTCATTTTCCTATTTGGCATTGAAGTAATCCAAAAGCAACTACACGTAATCAGGTTACATTACTTTTAGTTAGCGGTACTTGGATTACGTTACAGATTACATTACATTAATTGTACAGGATTACATTTTTAAAGTAATCCTCCAACCCTGCTATTATCTGTTTACTGCAATCCAGTATGCAGAAAATCCTGTCCACACATTGTTGGTGTGTGTCAGCATGCTGCCTACTGACAGCGTGAGCATTCACATGTCAAGCCTGACACCTAGTGGCAGAGGGTAGAAAGTCAACTCCAATTCATTTTTTTTACTTGTGTGAAAAGGATCTGCATTTCATTCTGTACAGTTTGTTTTCTTTTGAGCCGGGCTATGTTGCCATTAATGCTGAAGCAATGATGTAAGGGAAATCAATACATGGTTGGCAGGTAAAATGAATAAACAGAGTGTTCAGAGAAAGAGAAATGGGAATATGAAAGAAAGAGTAAGAGCACCAAAATATAGATGACCTGAAAATGTGCTGAGTTGTATTTACAATGTAAAAAATGACAGGCTTAAATGCAGCACATTCAGGCAAAAAATCCTGCTTTTCTCTTCTCTTTCCAAGTAGATAATACACTGCCCACTCCCTCCTGGAGTCGATGCCCAGTGAATGAAGTGAGCGCTAACACCCAATATCTTTGAACTGATTATTTAATTAAAAGTTTTTGTGGTTTGACCTCTCACCCTCTAAAATGTCTCTACACCTAAAAGCTACAGCGCTGCTGTGGAACACAAAAAGCAGTCAGGGATACGTGCATGATTTTAATGTCCATGTTCTCATCATGTAACAACCAGTATAAAGAACGGGACACTCTTCCGGAGAAGTGATGTACTCAAGTTGTTGTGTATCTGCAGTCAGTCAGTTGGGAGTTCCTACCTTTAGTGGCTCCTGCAGCCCCCAAGTGGTAAACGGCCCCCAAGATGAGCCATAGGGCCTTCTGCTCTTCACCAGAGATTCCTAACACCTTCATGGCTGCCTGCAGCTTGGTAAACTGCTGCGAGGCTCGCTGCTTGTCCTCAGGCTGGAGAAAATGAGAACAGATCAGACTTTACTTTACTGATATACATCTATACATACACATATACAGAGAGTAAGGCAGGTCCTGAAAAGTCAGCTGAATGGGAAGAACAAGATCTGAGCCATCAGCACATACACCCTGCCAGTCATCAGAGACCCCGCTGGTATAATAAACTGGCCAAAGGAGGAGATAGAGGCCACTGACATCAAGACAAGAAAGCTCCTCACAATGCATGGAGGGTTTCACCCCAAATCCAGCACCCTGAGACTGTACAACAAGCGTAGTGAGGTAGGCCGAGGGCTAGTGAGTGTCAAGACCACTGTGCAGGATGAAACGACAAAGATCCAAGAGTATAGTAGTGAATACCTCAGGCAGCATAAACCCAAGGGTGAGGACAAGGAAGACGAAGAACCTTCATGGAGAGACAAACCGCTGCACGGCATGTACCACAGACAAATAGTAGAAGTGGCTGATATCAAGAAATCCCACCATTGGCTGGAAAAGGCTGGACTAAAGGACAGCACATCATGGCGGCATAAGAACAGGCACTCAGTACAAGGTCAATAGAGGCTGGGGTCTACCACACCAGGCAGGACCCCAGGAGCAGACTGTGCAAGGAAGCCCCTGAGACAGTACAGCACATAACAGCAGGGTGTAAGATGTTGGCAGGAAGTGCGTACATGGAACGCCATAACCAGGTAGCTGTCATAGTGTACAGGAACATCTGCCATGAGTATGGGCTGGTCCAAAGGTCAAAATGAAAGATACCTCCTAAGGTAGTTGAGAATGACCGAGCTAAGATCCTGTGGGACTTCAAGATCCAGACTGACAAACTGGTGATGGCTAACCAACCAGACATCGTGTTGATCGATAAACAGCAGGAGAAGGCTGCAGTGATATCAAGAAGAAGGAGGACATCAAGAAGAAGGAACATGAGAAGCTTGAGAAATACCAAGGGCTGAAAGAGGAGCTAGAAAAGATGTGGAAAGTAAGAGCAACAGTGGTGCCAGGGGTAATCGGAGCACTGGGGGCTCTGACCCCCAAACTGGGAGAGTGGCTACAGCAGATTCCAGGTAAAACATCAGAGGTCTTTGTCCAGAAGAGTGCAGTCCTAGGAACAGCTTAGATACTGCGCAGAATCCTCAAACTCCCAGGCCTCTGATGGAGGACCCAAGCTTGAGGTGAATGTTACCGACCGCTGACAAGAGTTGCAGTGAAGGGGTTACATCCCTTTGCTACGTCTGAGACATCCATGGTCGTTAGCCTTCTTTGTTATTTTCCTGACACACCAGAAACAACTGACAGATCACTGACTAGTCCTTATAAGAGAGTAATATTTCTTTCTATAAATTAAGGGGGAAAAGAAACCTTCCTGTCACAGTTGACAGTTTACTAGTGCGCTGTGCTTGTGTAAAACAAAGGATGAGAGACTCTAAACAGAGCAGATTAAAATCTGTCTTTCCACTGGTTTACATGTTTATGCTTGTTGAACAGGTGAATGGTTAAAGTGACTTTTTACTCGCGAATGTTTTACTGAATGTACTTACAGTAACGAGCATAGTGGTCATCAAGTATTCTCCACCACAGCCTCCCTGATCAGCTGACTTTGCTGTGTGTGTGTGTGTGTGTGTGTGTGTGTGTGTGTGTGTGTGTATGTATTATCAAAACGATGTGTTTAATTCTTTTGTACCACTTGCCATTTTGGTCTTTTTTACTTGCCCTGGGCAATCCTTATTGTTGAGCTCTGCAGTTCTTGGTCACAAAAAAATTGTATTAAAAATCATATATGAGTCAGGCTATATTACAAGGCTCAGCAGAAAACAAAGAAAATATGAAATGAAACTAACAGACACATGTCCATTAAGCCATCTAGTGCGATTACCTTAGACTGTGGTAGGATCCCAAAAGCACTGTTCTCAGCCAGGTGATTAAAGTGCAGCTCCGTTCTGAAAGAGAGGAGGAGAGGAAGACGCTGGGATCAGGAGGTTCCTCGGTGCCAGTGAACATAGTTCCTAATGTCACTGCTGCTGCCTTTTGATTAAATTAATCCGACCCTGTCCGTCATTTGTGACATAATGTGATAATATTTCAAAAGCAAGTACACTACTTAGTGTTGGTTATACAACAAGCAGTGAATGGGTAAAGGGGGGGGGGGGGTATTTTAGACACCGAACCTGAAATCTTTGTGGTCCTGTACCATAAGAAATGGACATCTGTTTGTCTTTCTAATTTACACACATTTTCATGACAAAGATGATGAAAACCTTTAAATCTGGATGAAACAGTGGCTGGAGACACAACAGCAGCAGAGACTGTAAACTCTGCAGAGAAAGCCGGAGAAGAATGAATCTCATAAAAGAAGGAGGTTCTGACCGGAAACTTCTAAAACGCAACGTAAAACATTCTCACAGTCACTGTGCTAGCTTACCTATTTTACACCTTTCTTATGTTTCCTGGCCAGTTATGGGTTTGTAATGATTATTTCTCCCACTCATCAAACGGGTTTAAAATAATCTTAATGAGAACAACAGGTAGGAACAGGATAAGCTAACAGTTAGAACCACTGCCCACAACACGCTGCACACTGGCCTGGGATGACGAGCTCAGACTTGATTCAACTTGCGCTGATGAGTTGTGACCCAAATTAAAACTACAATCAACTGATTTTCCTGGAATTTGAGAAAAATTTAAAAACCACAATCAAGAAACAAAGTTGAAAAAAAGCCAGTTCCTTTGTAATTATACATCACAAAAATATATATATATAACTCGGAACACATGTTACATATTTCAATACTTCAGTTTCATAGTTTATTCAAATGCTGTACTTTAGTTGACAAAGAAGTGCTTGAGCAGTCACCTCAGGCTGCTGTCGGCTCCAGCCATCACGTAGTAAAAGACGTTGAAGGTGGACTCGGCCTCAGGTCGTCTGGTCACCCTCAGCTTCTCCAGCAGCATCGTCTAAGCAGGAAGAGACAGTGTGAGTCAGACAGTTCTGCTGCGGATATACTCAGCACAGTAAGTGGAAGAGTCTCAATTTTATTGTGTAAAGCTTCAAATCTTAAATGACTGGGTTAGTTTATATTTAAACTGTTGAGGTGTAAGCTGGTAGCAACAGATGTTAGTATTTTACATTAATGCAGGGACTCTGGAGGCATGAAAGAAGCGTAGGTCAAGTAAAGTCAGGTTCAGCTGAGGACACACCTCTTTCTGTTGCGAGTATAATGTGTATGTGTGTGTTGTGTGTTACCTGGATAGAGGCTGAGGCCACCTGCCCAGTCTGGTCGAAGTCGAGGGACACTACATGGGAGAAGCGGCTGGCGTTAGTGTTCATAGAGGTGGAGCTGTTGCCAAAAGCCTCCAGGATGGTGTAGACCGCCTGCCACTTCTCAGCTGTGTCACCAAACAAAAAGAAGAATTACATTGTATCCTCATTTGATCCACGGGCTCAGTGTAAACTTTTGCAAACTGGCTATCAACCATTTATTGAGAATCCAGAATTCTGTTGTGCCCTGTGATATTTTTCTGTAAATGTCAGCTCGTCTCCATGCACCACAGATTATTAGTGATGTTTTTTTATAGAAGTTTAGAAAGTGAGGGCCATATTATATTTACAGTTCTGTTTTACACTTCTTGAGCAGACTCAACGGCCGTTCGCACTGCAGGACACGTTACTATACAAATTCATGATCAAATGATCATATGAAAGCCCTGTCTTACTACATGTCAGATTTTCCACAGCCTGCTATCTGTCCATCTGTCTGTCTGTCTACTCTATCTACTCTCCTCGTCTGTCTGCATGCTCACCAGAGAAGATTTTGCCAGTACTCCCAGCAATGGAGACCAGGTACTGGACCAGGTGCTGGCAGTTTGTGGTCTTGCCGCTGCCAGACTTGCCCAGCAGCACAATGGACTGATCCTGTCGGGTGGTGAGCAGATTGCGGTAGGCCGACTGGGCCACAGAGTAGATATGAGGAGCAGAGTCCTCTCTGCGACAGCCTTTGAACATGTGCATCACCTGATTGGTGGGAGGAAGAAAGGGAGACAAGGAATATACACACCACAGGGGAGGACCACAAAAGGAACAAACACAAAAGCAGGCAGACATTTAAATAAGAGCCACAACCACAGCGTGGCCAACCTAGAATTTCTGTTATTCAATATTTGTGACAATCATCAAGCTTGACAGGTGGTCAGCAAACTGTATCAACATATGAATAGGACATTTTCATGCGTGCGATGCAGGGTACAATTCAACACACATCTTAGAAAACTTTGGAAATTTAAATTTATATACTGCATGAATAACATTGTGTTTTTTCAAAATAATTTACATATTTTTATGTTTTCCATTTGGTAAGAGCAACTTGTCTAATGAACCCACAAAAGCTAAACAAGAGGTCAATTTAAAGAATGCAAAGGTGAAGTTTTTCTGCTAAGAAAACAGCAATTATCAGCCTGCCCGTCATTAGTCTACAGCTTACCTTCTCAGAGTACATGGAGGGTGTGCTTAGGGGGTTGATGACTACCATGTTGGGTCCAGCGTAGGTGTGGATGAGGTTGCCTCCATAGCGCTGCCTAAGGCAGTGCATCACACTGGATTCATTCAGATACAGCAGCGAAGCCAGGTCATCTGATCGGTCGTATGATGGAGGGTTGGCCTACACAGAAAGACATGACGATGATGGCATACAACTAGGAGACATATGTCTGGCTAAATGTACCCCACTCCTCCTTAAACGCCAGTGAAATCTATAGCAGAACACAAAAAAATTGCACAACTGAAATTCTGAACTCTTGTATCATACTCATCTTTTGATCTTAAACCCAAATGTCTTCAGTGAACAACAAAAACAAAGGGATTGGCCTTACAGTTCCAATACTTTTGGAGGGGACTGTATGTATATGTAGCAGTATGAGAAGTATTAGAAAACACAATATTTGTTTTCAAACACCGCAACATAAATTTGACGAGTCCTGTGTACCTGAGCTTGAAAGGAGGAAGATGTGCAGTCCCAAACCAACAATGTGTTCAGTCTCTACTACTATCTAACTTCTCTACTCTGTCTGTGTCTCTCTGCTGAAGACGTAAATCACAAATGTATAGTTTCATTTCTAAAAAAGGGTTAATCACTTCCTACAACAGCTGGACACCGTAGTTTTTAGCAAAGATTACTTAAAAAGAGGAAATGGTGCATTTGTTGGGGACTATTTTCAGCAGTGGATTAATCCACATGCGGTGCTCTAGTGAGTATTTCTGGCAGCAGGACAGCGTCTGTGGGATTGAGGGAAAATAAACTACCCTGTAGCTCATTGTGTGTTTTGGAGCAGCTCTCTGGGAAAGAAGAAGATACAGTGGTGGAAATAAGTATTCAACATTTTTTACATTAAAATATTTCCAATGACGACACTGACATGAATTTTATACCAGACATTAGTATTAACTCAGTAAACGCAGATGTAGATAAAGAAATCGTAACAATTCAGTCCATCAAAAGAGTTATCTGCAATAAAGTGGAATGACACAGGATCCAAATTGGAAATATGTTTAATGAAAAAACTGTATTTCCCTCAATGTATGTCAGAGTTACAAGCAGTCTGCTTGTAAGAAAATCACAGAATTTCACCAGACTCATCTTTTAAATTTTAAGCAGACGTCAGAAGGAAGAAGGATACTAAGGTGCTCATGTCATCAGTAAACTGTATACTGAGAAGAACAGTATTTCACATGTCTGTAGCTTTTATCCCAACAGTGTAAAGAGCCCTCTTCCCAATCTTCTCTCTTTCCTTTGTTTTCTCAGTAAAGTATAGTGATAGTGATTCTGCAGATTATTAGATAGAACATTACACAGGGAGGTCAATGACATCATTACATCATCAAACAATTTTTGTCCTCTGGGTACTGATGATTAGAGCCTTGCTGTCACAGACTTGGCAACACCATTAATAAAAAAGTTGGTTGTTCCAGTATACACATCTTCAGAGATGTTATGAACGTCTGATTTAGAAAAGCACAGTGACTAAAGCAGTCATCCTTCATCCTGCCCAGGGCCACTGATGCCAGTTAGCTTCAGCTCAGCATCTGTTTTTTATTGGACAAGGTGCCTGCTGAAAAAAAATGATTAACCAACTACACTTCATTCTGTTTTACTTGAAGTGAAAATCTGGCTTGACTGATGGATCATATATAAATGTCAGATTTGAATGTGCCCGACAACAAACAATACCAAAACAACATATGAGACATCATACGTGTAGACGTGGCGACCAGTTGCTCCCTTAATTTTTGCTTTTAATATTTTTTTTCTCCTTCTTTTTTACGGAAACACGCAATATATAACGCTTATAGACTTTCAGGACTACAGGCTACCACTTAACTGCATTTCAGTGCACTCAATTTCATCATTTTCACTAACACATGTATGGATGAGAGTTGATGACGGTAACAGTACAGTTTATTCTCCTTTGTTACAATTTCCCCTGGTGGACAAAAGTTAATATTCCTCTTACATTAATAATACTTACATATTATAGAAATCTAATTGTTAATGTCATTAAATATTAAAAATCAACTTAAGTCATTACTAGTGTTGTGAAATTAATTAATGCGTAATAATCATAATAATCATGAAACCGTGATTATTTCTCTGACAATAATCGTACCAACAAAATCTGTAATCGTTGCATCCCTAGACTGGACTGAGCGCAGCGGATCTGGAAACGATAACTAGCAACTGCATCTCGCGACAAAACAAGCGGACCAGCCAGAGTAAGTGTCGGAGAAGGAAGAGAGAAAAGCAAGCGGGGAGAAGGGTGAAACTAAATCAGTTTGGACATAAGGCTTTCCCACTCCCCCGCAAAGCCTGATGCCACAGTCCATTTCACACTAATTGTTAGAATTAAATAGATACATACAAGTACATGCCAAGACTGTGATATATCATGAAATTCTGTGATAGAAATGATGGATTGACATGATGACACAGTCTTACCAAATGATTTTATTCATAATTGCCAGAAAGTGAAAATCTGATGTCTATAAAAAATCTATTTGTAAAAATGTTCTACTATGAAAGCATGACATTGGTATGGATGAACGGTGTGTGTTAAGCAGTACATAGGGCACTACCATTAAGCATTGTAGCCATCTCCCACTCACCTTTTCTATGTCGTCTTCGTCCACATCTAGTGTTGTCCCATCGTGCTCCAGTTTGATTTTCACCTTGCCCTCTGGCAGGGAGCCAGCCTCTGTCTTCACCACGGTGGCTGGGAAGAGAAAATACATGAAACACTAGTAGTTAGTAGCCTGCTGGAAGTCGGGCCATAGTGTGCCTATCTTAGCATAAATACCGGACACAGAAGAAAACATGTAGCCTGGCTCTGTACAAAGTTTAAAAATGCGCCTATCAACACATCTAAAGCTCAATATCTCTTTTGTTTTATCAGTATACCATACATATATATATATATATATGTCCAACTCAAGGCCCGCAGCACAATTTTCCCAGCCTTTATTTAAAATGTTATTTTCATGAACATAATTACTGGGGGAGCATGTCCCGCATCCCTGTACTTTTTCTAGGTTTCAGTTTGTTGCAGAAAGAGTAACATCACAAGAGATATGCACCTTTAGATACCAAAGGTGTGTGAGGGGGATTCCAAAGGGGCATTAATTATTTTTTCATTGTCAGTAAATTTTAAGTTTTCATTTTTTGCCACCCTAATAGAATCACTGGACCTAACGTGGCCCATTTGTAATTTTTAAGATGGCCTCTTCATTGAGGTGCTATCTGCACAGAAGTGCTGGGTGGAAACCCTTACATATGTACATACATTTCTACTCTATCCTACTTTGTACTGCAAATGCTACACAACAATTTCCCTCGGGATATATAGAGATCTTATTATAGTAACAATTTGTTAGAGCTGAAACAATTATTTGATTAATTAGTTAAGCAACAGAAAATGAATCAGAAACAATCAAGTAATCCTTTAAGTAACTGTCAATTATCGTCACAGTGCATTTTCTAATTGAAATTATTGGAATGTTTAAAAGGAAATAGTGCTATATGTCTCACCCAGGGAAAAGCCATCTTTGTGGACTAGCCAGACTTTCTCTGATCCATACCAAGCCTGCTCCGCTGCGATCTGCTCCTCCGTCTTCACCTGGTGGACAGAAAGGACAACAAAAAGAATTACGGGACAGCAGGGAGGAGGAAATTATTACTGCCACATCACTGGACCACTCAGTCACACTGAGTCTTTCTGAAACTGACAGTTTTACCAGCGCATGCTGAAAAGTTCTGATGGAAAAGGTTGTCAGGATGATGACCATGCAGTGGATGAAAGTAGATTCAATGGTCTCAAAGTCGACTGAGCACTGCATGCTCCTTCAGGGTGGTGTTGACAATATTTGTGTGCATGTTTGTGTTAGAAATGTCAATATAAGAAGCCTCAGGGGTGTGTGAAGGGGGATCAACAGGAACCCAACCGAAGTGCCAGGTATTAGTATTATTCAGTGAACACAAAGTGAAGAAGGAACACGACAATAACACTAAAATAATAGGCACATCATAAAAATAAACCATAATGATAAGTAAGATATTTTCCCAAAAAACAAATTAAGTATTAAGTAACTATTGATGGCTACTTTAATTTCAGATCATTTTAATGGGAAGAGAGAAACACTGCACTTTGCAAGCAAAGGGAGAGAGCACAGCACAACACTCCACAGTCCAGGGTGATGATGGGGACAGGTTTGTGGTGAATTACACTCAGGCACAATGCAAGCCAGACCTGGGATTGCTTAGCTGCAGTATGAGATGCCTGAAGGAGGGCCAAAGGGTCCTCTTCCAGTGATCCCTGGTGATTTGGTCAGCATGAAGAGGTCAAAGGTCACAGTTATATATATATAAGCAACAAATGTTAACAGTCACACATACAGATAAATAGATAAGATCAAAGACATGCACACAGATGAAAGATCAGCAGAGTTTGCATCTGAACAAAGTGTTGGTCTATCAGCATGATCCTCTATGACAGGACCTGTTATCATCCACCTATTGGCTTTATGGTAGATCAGCATATTCATGTCATGAACAAAGACTCACCATGAAAAACAAAACTGTGTGCTAGGAGCACCTGAACGTAATAGTTAGCCACACAACACTGTGGAAACAGAACACATGCATGTATCATAGTGTGCAGCTCCGTCACCATGCCATTCCAATCTGCTATAAACTGCAGCTCATGTCAATTAGGGACATCCTGCCAAAAAGCTTTTGACTACATGTTAGACACAATACCAGGAGACAAAAACCCAGTGACTGTTCAGAAAGTAGACTTTAGGGGTCAACAGCGTGTCTGGCTTTGCTGTAAACTATCATATGATAAAAGAACTGTCAATTTCATCTCTGTGTTTCCAGAACAAAGTCCAGCACATGTTCAGCCTAATTTAGCACTTGAACCGGAAGCAAAAGGGGAAACTGCAAGCTTAGTTCTTCCAAAAGTGATAAAAACAACACTCTCTTTTTAGCATTGTACCTTTTTACCTAACACAGTTATTACCAATAAACCCATGACACAGCTAGGAGTTGTTGCTTTGTTTAGCAGTCACTCCACCTGGCAGACTTGTCAACAAATGGCTCCAACGCTAACTGCGTTGTGGATTTTGCCTTTTGTTTTTGGCATATTAGGGTCACATGCAAGTGAAAGACCTCAGGAGTTACATACTGCTATATTTGTTCTCTGCCTAAACTAGGTTAAACATGTCCAGCATCTATCTCTGAACTGGATAAACGGTCAGAATGTGACAAACAGAGGATCACCTAACAAATCTGAGGTATTACATTCAAATCTATAATGATAAAATCTTTAACAAATGTGATTGGTAAATCTTTTTTCAGTCCCCTTTTCTCAACAAAATAAATATTTTTATAGAAAATTAAGGGCTACTTTGTTCGTGACTCAAATTAATTAAACCAAATGTTTATTGACGATATATTGAACATTTATTATATTGTTATTGAGGAAAATTATATTGCGATAATTATCATTATTGTTTTATTTCCCAGCCCTACTCTCAGACCATTCTTTAAAGTGTGGTTCCTTTCATGTTTCTTTTTAATCCCATCCTTTGCAGCTGGACAAACTGTCTCCAAAATTATTTGGACAAGGATCATAATCACTGTGAGGCAGCAATTAACCTAATTAGTGGCTGAAGGGTTTCATCAATGCTAAACAAATCCACATCTCATCCATTATATCAGATGTGGACACTGACTAATGTTCCAGCCTTGTAGGGTGGTCGCAGCCTAATACAGATGTTGTAAACACTGCAAAAAAGGGAAATGAGTAAAGGATTCTGGGCCTTACACTTTGACCAGCCACATGAGTACATATTCCAGCCACGAGGGCCAGAGGAGGGCTCAAGGGCTGCGGTACCTGAAGGGGGCCCTGGGGTTGCGGGGCCACAGGGGCGGGGGCTTGGACAGAAGACGAAACACTGACTGCCAACTCCAGCTTAGCCACAAATCAGCCACAGAGAGACAACGACAGCCAGCAAAAGAAGTGTGAGTAAGGACAGAATGAGGGGAACAACAGGAGAGACAAGAAGACATGGTTAAAATGGAACTCTTGCTGAAAGGAATACAGTGCAGAGAAGAAAAAAAGAGCATGGAAACTTGACTGAGTAATGGAAAGTAAAAAAAAATGGCTTTTCAATAAGTAACCATGGGGTGAAAATGATTCCTATACAGTGACACACTGACAATGGTTTTTGGAAGTGCAGATCAGTTCCAACTAATTCTACAGAGTTATTGTTACTTGTCAGAGTAACACATTGTAAGATGTTGCTTAAGTGAATGTGCTAAATCTGAGAAGTACGTATAGTTAGGACAATAACTGATATTACAAGTGCCCCAGTCAGAATGTTACTAGCCTTTCTAATCTATTTCGGCAGTTCAGGATAGCCATTCGACTATAGGGCTTTGCAGTCAAAAAGGCTTTGTCTGGCATCGAGGGTACCTTAAGTGAAAGTCCAATTTGTTTTTCTATATTGACTCTGTTTACCACATGAGTTACAGCGGGTTGCCCGTTAATCGGAACGTCGGCAGTTCAATCCCCGGCTCCTCCAGGCTGCATGTTGAAGTGTCCTTGAACAAGATACTGAACCCCGAATTGCCCCTGGTTGTACTACGTATTACATTTAGATTTTACTCGGGCGGGCAGCCCAGGTTCACCCAGGTACATTAATATTATGTTTTGTTTTCATTTACGTGTCATTCATGAGCACGCTGCTTCTCTCCTCTGCTCTCTGTTGGTGTTTCACATACACAACGAAGTGAGCATGCTATCTAGAGCCGCTACAGCTCATTACTTTAACATACTCTCAAAAGTGGAATCACATCAGCAGCTGCAAGATGAGCTTGTCATGGCTGTATGGACGGAGTCAGATATGCAGTTACAAAAAATAAAAAGCGGGGAAGAAATGATCAGTAGTCAAATAAAAACCTATTTAATATGGGACATTTCACAGTAAAAGTATTGAAACAATAAATTTATTGTGAATTGTCCCCATAAATAATTTTGCATATATCTGAACATTTCTATATGCACATCTGGATTGATACACAATGTAATCAGTGATATTGATAACATTTGTAATATTTTCTTGTTGAGAAATTTTATTAATCCACCACATGATTACACACTCCTTCTGATAATAAAATCTGTTTAAAACGTAAAACACAGAATTCAGGAAAAATGTAACTGAAAACATGGAATTTGGGAAAAAATTAAAGGGAATCTGGCAATATTTTAAATGGATTTCATAGGGCCCTAATTAGGTACTCAATATTAGAACCAGATCAGGGGCAATGAATACTTAATCAAGTCATTCCTAGTGTAAACTTTCCGATGACTCAATATTCAACTAGGAAACTGGCATCTGATTTTTGAGAGCAGCCATAGTTAGCAGATAAGTAAGAGGGTAATACAAGCAATACAAGTGCATGATGGAAACCAGAGAGTTAGAGAGTGGAGCCAGGACACCAGGGCTAATAATTCCCTCATGAGTCACAGACTGTTCTGCCCCAGTCAGGAGGGCAACAGATGCCTGCTTATACCTCCCTATGCCAAGTGTCTGTGAATATACACCAATAAACTAAGCATGTTAAGCATGGTGACTAATGCCGACAGCCCAGGGAGCTACCATTGCGGGAGGCCGAGGTTCTGAAACTGCTTTCCATTTTTTGGGGTCTTGGTGGTGCCCGGACGGTAAGGGTTAGACTGATTAAGTGGGTAGTGCAGGGATATGAGATTATTACATGAGGGCAGAATTTGCCTACAAAGAGATTTTTTCATATTGTTTTATGGTGGTAACTTTCCCTTCAAATCTCAGTTTTAATGTTGCGGGGATGGGGGGATGGGGGGGGGGCAAAGAGAGTCATAAAGCAAAGACAAGTCATCAACAATTTGCAGATGTACAGCTGTGATTTACAGGGGCACTGAAGATCCTCATCAAGCGTCTCTGAGCCTCATCGGTGGGACTGAGCAGTGTCTCCTACAGGTCAAAGCAGCAACACATGGAGATGAAGCAAAGCCCATGACTACACACACAAAACGTTACAAAACGTGTGGATATGTGCCTGAGTACGCTTAAAAATCAAAGACCTTTTCATTGCATGTTGTCTGTAGGAGACTCTGCACGCACACACTTCTGTCGTTAACATTGAAATAGCAGTTTTGGTTATTGTGCAGTCTAATTTGAAAAGATCACGTTAGTAGTACTTCCCAATAAGGACTAAATGTTTAGAGGTCTCTCAAACAGCATGCACAATAGAAAATCAAGAAATCCAACACACACAATAATACAAGTGTCTGGTTAGGAGAAGAGTATCTAGAAGACACGAGTTGCAACAAACCAAGCAGAGCAAATGAACAATACAGAGAGCCAGCATCAATTTAGAGACCAGCCAATGCACACTAAACAAATGAACAGAAATTGCCGCTCATAGGCCCTTCGGCCAGTGGGGCAACTCACATATTTATAATGCCAGTTAGAACCATGTAGAGGTCAAAAGAAGTTAATATGTTTCCCGCAAATACTGAGAGAGCTTTCTGTGCCTGTTCATGGGGTTTGCTATGAATCTCCCAGAATGCAAAACTGCAGTAATTGGCTCTACATGGATTTCCAATTAGTGACTTGACACACTAGGCTCCTGATGTCCCACTGTCTCTACTGGGACTCGGCCTTTGTAAACAAGGATTGTGAGCTACATTCTGCTATATGAGATATCATGGGTACCTCTGTAGTCCCCAACAAATACACTACTGACTATTTTTAAAAACGCCTTGTTATTAATTAGAGAAGAGACACACAATGGCCCCTCACTCTTACACATGTTGCTAACGCCCCAAAATGATTTGGGGAAAATGATCGTTTCAGACCATGGAGACGTGATATGGAATTCAAACATTGGATAAAGGACTAAGTAAAATAAAATACCTCTTTAATGAAAGTACTCTGTATTTCTAACAATCTGTAGATAAACATGACTTTCCTAAGAAACATTTTGTAGGTACTTACAAATTAGGAGCTGCATACATTCCTAAGTTAACAACAGCTTGGAACCCTCACTGTCTACGATTGAACAACTCCCAGTAAACCATTTACATGACAGAGGCCAGTTGTCCATGTTTTATGATACATCACCAGCAGGTTCCAAAGAACCCTCCCTTTCCTATCTGTCTGCATGGAAGAGGGATCTTGAGCTGGACATCTCTGTAGAGGACTGGGAGAAGGCATTCCTTGTGGCCCAAAGCTAAACTATAAATACCAGATGCAAACTGTTACAGGCTGCTCTGGACTCACACCTCTTAAATTACACCATTTACTCCAAATATTCTGGGAAAACTTAAAAGCTACGGATAAAAATGGTACCATGTTCCATTGTATGTGGGAATGTTAAAAAACTGAAGATGTTCTGGAAAGTTCTTTCTTTTGCTGATTTCTAAAGTGACCCTTCGCTAAGCCACGCCCCAAATACACAGCTGGCCAATCACAATGCAGTATAGGACTCGCTCTAACTAGGTTTCAACACTTTCATGGCTGCACTCCGTTGATTCTAATGCAAAATGAGTCATTTTCTAGCTTTTTTTGCTGTATTTTTCCAAGATGGTCAAAGCTGTTCCTGGAGCACTTTTAATAGTTACAGTCACTACCAGAGAGGTTGAAAGGAGAAGGACGATTTATTCACTTTCCAAAACCTAAAACAAATCTAGAAAAATGTTGGCTGTTAACTATCTAACGCTAGCTAACTTACTACTGAATTTAACATTATAAAGCCCTACTGTCAAAAATTTGACAATATTTCTCCAGGGAGTGCAGTAATAGACTGTGGCAGCGCAGTGCTAAAAGTCAGACAGGTCCAACAGTTTGTCGGACTTAGCAACAGTAACTAAGGGGGGGGCGTGGATTAGCGAAGGGTGAATTGGAAGGACAAAATAATATATTACTTAATTAATTAATTAAAATATATATAACACCTGTCAGTACAAGGCAATACAATTTGACAGCACCACAAACTACAGCCTTCAAAAGGGGAGAGGGGATTTATTTCAGGACTGTTGTATTAGACTGTATTAGTTTTACAAGGTGTACCTAATAAACTGGAGAGTATATAGATTTATATTTATTGTGTGTGTGAGAGGTAAGCAAACACCACAGTGCTATTTTATTTCAAACAGGCATTTCAAAGACCATGCACTTTCCACACCAACATCCCAAATGTTGACCGGACATGCCATGGACACTGTACCTCTTGTTGACTGACAGCAGGTTGCTGAATGGAAATGACTGCTGGAGGGAGAGACAGTGGACCAGGATTGGGACAGGGAGGATCAGGGTTCACAGGAATAGCAAGAGGAGAGGGTTTGGGGGCTGGGATGAAATGTGATGGAGGACAGAGGGAGGAAGGTTTTTGAGCCACTGGCGTGATAGAAGGATGATTTGTAGCGGTAGGTTTAGTTGTAGCAGTTGGTTTGGGTGCAGGTATGAAGCCAGGAGGTGGAGACAAGGATGAGGGTTTGGGAGCTGGGATAAAGCCAACAACCGGTGGGAGAGATGAAGGTCTGGAATGAGTCGATTTGGAAGAAGTTAGAGCGGAGCGCTCAGAAGCCTTGCTGGTTGGGTGTCCAGCAGTCACAGGAGATTTGACTTCCTGTGTAACTGGACCAAGGCTTGTAGTTTTGTGATTGACCTCCTGTGGCTTTGGGGCGGTTAAAGTCTCTTTCTTCTCCTTTTTTGTCTCCTCCGGCTCATTCTTCTTCTCTAATTCTACTTTTTGTTCATCCTTGCATATTCGTGGGCGGGGCTCCCTTGTCCTGCCTCTGACCATGAGGTTGGTCAGTCCTCGTGAAATGTCATCTTTGTCTTCTGTTTTGATGACGTCATGTTTAAAAGAGAACCCTGACATCACGGGGGCCTTTGACACCGACGCTGGTGCTGGTTTAGCAGCAGGCTTGGCTGCTTCTGGAGCTTTGTCTGATGGTTGTGTTTGCACAGTGGCCTTGTCCTCTTCTGTGGGCAGGACCTTCCTGACAACACGACGAACCACCTTTACTACTTTCTTACGTGTCAGACCCTGGTCATCTGTAGTATCCATCTGGTTGGTGCCTGTTCCGGGAAGTCTGACATTACCGTTGGCTGTACCGTTAACCATGCTTTTGCCCATTATGCCATTTTGCTCTCGCTCACTGTTCATAACTGGCTCTGGGCTCAGAGCAGCTTGTGGCGGTTCAGGACTCTTAAATTGCGTTGCCATCTTTGACGATGGCTCAGGGCTTTTGAAGCGCTCGGGCACTTCAACAAGTGTCCTGACTTTAGGTGGGGAGGGACTCCTGAACCGGGCTACCGACTCCGTAGGAGAAACTGATGGAGGACTTGTTGTCTGGAATAACCTCCTGCCAGGGTCTAGAGCTGGCACTGACATTGTCCGGTTAGGCAGCCCATCAGTGCCTGACTACTCACAGAGAGGAAAGAGAGGCGGAGGATAAGGATGTGAATAATGAAGGAAAATCCCAGCATGATGTCTTTATGCAAACAAAAATCTAAATATTGCTATGTTAGGTTAAGCTGAATATGTCTGCAGTCATTGTATGTCCATCAAATGAAGTGAACCCTGCCTTAAAGTGTCTCTTTAAAGAACCCTCATGCAAAAACCACTCGTCTGAATAGATGTGTCAGCTGATTTCCAACAGCAGGACTTCAAGGTCTGCAAGGTTCTAGTTCTTCATTTATCTCTTGGATAACATTTTTGTGAATAAAAATTGTTCACAAATTAACAGAAAAATGGGAATCCATTAAAGTGATGTACAAATTTCAAGAACATGCACAGGTGGCATTTATAGGGTTGAAATGTGTTTTTCTGACAGGTTTGTGTAAATAAAGAGGGTTTTATTTAATCTGACTTAATTCACTAGTACAAGCAAGCCTCACAGGACAAAAGTGAGAGGTTTAGGATATGAATATGAAAATGCTATTGCACAAGGCTCAATATTTTGCGATGTTTGAACTAAATAATGTATGTAATACTAACTTTCAATATCTAAAAGTATGTATACACAATACTTTGATCTTCACAAAAAAAAAAAAAACTGATTCCTGGTAGACATGAGACAGCGGTAACATGACTACAATGACCAGAAATTTATGTATCAAGAGAAAAATCTAATAAAGGACAATATTTACTTACACTTTTGCTGCCTGGCTTATTCTCTTCTTTGATCTAAATGTTTGATATACAAAAGAAAACTAGATCAAAACCACGGCACTACATGAAGCTGCTCACACACCGTGCAAACCGCAAAACATGCTACATTTCTTGCATGTAATTAATTTATAATTATTGCACAGCAACATCTATTTCTTTAGATACAAACAAACACTCTGTTCATATTTGAGGAACTAAAACTCGCTGCTCTGGGAGCGCTATGGTTGTGTCCAGCCAATGGCATAGGTGGTACAAAGCCACAGCAAATGGTTTAAATACTATAACATACTTTTACACATACTTTAAGAGTGAAAGCCAAGTCTTGGTGTGATACTGGCAAAGGCCTCACTTATCAAAAGACACACATTAATACACAGTGTAAACACTGTAACACCATGCAGAGTAAGCATGCTTTATGAAAAGTCCAAATGAGACCTCCCTTTTGCTCCCAGAAGGAAAAGCGAGATGAGAATGCCATGTTGGCTGATCTGCTGTCATGGGCTGTGATGGATGAGATGAGAGCGGGAGCAGGAGGAGGAGAAGGAGATGGAGGGGAGCTAGGACAGGAAGAATGGTGAGAATACACAAAGACAGATGAATAGGAATGAGGATATTCAGGCTACAGAGATCATAAAACGTTCAATGTACAGTAGGCAGAGCCGCATGTTAATGGCAATCACCACGGTCCAGGAGACGTAGAGGATGAACAGGAGATCAGAGCAGGTTTAGAGAAATGAAAACTGCCTTGTCAAAAAAAAAATCAAAAGATTATCATCCCACTAAAAGCTTACAGTGCACAATGCTCTTGGAAAGCCTTTTGAATGATAAACCAAAAAACAAGAATATTAGAGAGATAATCTTGACCTTTGTATGTTATAAAAGGCAATGATGTTAAATAATTCATCTTTCTCTACGCCCAGACACAAACATTAACTTTCATTCATTTCTCTTTAACTACAAAAAGACACTATGGTAAAGATTTCTGCTCAGCAGTGTACCTTTGTTTCAGCATCAGGGCTCACTGAGTGACGTAGGCTCAAACTAGGGGCGTAACAAATCACACCTCGGCTTTTTCCCATTTTTTCAACGCTGACCGATACAGTTCGTTTTTTTCTTTTTAAATGGGTAAAATAACATTTGAGTGCAGTCCTGCACGCAGCGCATATATATTCACTCAATACAGTCCCTCTCCCTCGCGGGTCCGTCTGTGATTTCAACGGTTAGTATCATCAGAGACATTTTTAGTATCATGAACACCGCTGCACAAATGTGTCCAACACAACGCTGTCAATGACAGAGACCCACCAAAAAAAGTTATTAGCAAGCTTGTCAGGAGCCTAGCTAATAAGGATAGCTATGTTAACGTTAAGAGTACAACTGGGCTGTCAAGGTTAGCGTGCTGTACGTAGCTGATAGTCAATGCTGAATGCACACCCAGGTCACTATTTGGGCTTGGGGTGGGCGATATGATGATTAACACAGCGAGATGATTTGGCCATCGCTCTGGCTGTTTAAATTATTTATAGATGTGATGAAGTTTATGGTAACTTGTCTGGTATTTAAAAAACTGGATTAGCCTTCAATTCCTATTAATTAGTAAAAGTACTGTGTCAGTACAACAGTTTCTCAATTGCTTTTCCAGAAAATGTAGTATATCATCATATACATCAAAATGACAATAGTTGTTGCATATGCTGAAGATATTATTCATATTGCCCACTCCTATTTGAGCTGGATGGTGACCAACACAAATTCCAGGTGATCACTGCCTCCTTTCTCAATGTAGAAGCAACCTACCAACATAAACCAAATGTATTGTGTTAAAATGATATATCTTGAGTGAACTATCACTAACCCTAATCCTCACTATTAGCAGAAAAATACATTTACCACAATCTAAAAGGGACAATGTCATTTTTGGGAAAGTAGTCCAGGACAGGTCTAGTATGGTCCTGGAAAAAATAGTTTAAGGCCCTGCCTGAAGTCAGCAGGTTAAGTCAAGGGCTTGATCTTATCTAATTAATTTGTACACAAAACAGAACAAAGTTGGTCTCTGTCTTGGACAAGAGGTCTTCAGCTTGATAAGATGAGCATCAACAACCCTAATGCCTTTCCAGAACAACTTTCCTGGGCGTGGGACAGTGTTTAGGTCTGGCTCGGGGTTATTGAGTTTTATCAGTGGTCACTGAATTAGGACACTAACAGACTTATTTTTGGATTAGACAGCGGTACTGTCGGGCTGTGGGCCAGATTACTCCCTCAGAGAAAGGCCAACAAGGCAAATAAAACAAGCAGACATATATAGACATATACACACATACACCGGGATACCCCCTTCCTCGCCATCATGTGCAATTCATGCCTTTTTGCTCTAGACTGGTATCTGTGGACCTCATGTGACTTTCAATAGGACATAAACACGCTTAAATGAGACTCCTAACGCACTGCATTGCAGATACGAAAATTGTTATACCAATGGCCTTTAGTTAGATGCCTGATTAAAGTTTAGATGGTAATCTATAGCAGGGGAAATAATATGGTTGCCTGTGGCTGTCTGAGAGGAATAGAGGCAACAGAGTTGATAAGTCTACAAAGCAAAAAGATCATTAGACCTGATCCTAAATGTGGTCAGTCTGAACAGACGCAAATAGAAAGAGACCAGCATTCTCCCCATCAGATACTAGGACCCGAATAGAAACCATGTAATGCGGGGCGACCAGCAAATCTATCATGTTAGTAACCAAATCAACAACTCCCGCTACTATGACCACCCACATTTAATATTAGTACAGTTAAAAATCTGAGTATATTGTATATTATTAAAACGAGTCCTTGGTTTGTTCCAGATCTATGGAGACTGAAGTGGGCATTTTTATTCATAACTCTGATAGCATTTTGGCAGTAAATTCAGAAGGAATTATGTTTGAACTATAACAGGAAAACTCTTGGTATTTGTAAGTAAATTTGAGTCAAACTTAATGTCTTTTTTCTATGTGAATCCACAAAATGCAGATAAGGGGGTGGATCCCTATATTGCATGGACCTCCCAGCAGTGTTGGGCAGCTAAAGGAAGCTAAAGGACGTATGGAGAACGAAGGAGAGAGTTGTTCTTTTGACAGCATTAATTATTGCGAACAATTCAACATGAAGCATCTGCTAAAACAGCACAGCAACATGAAACATTAAAAAGAAACTCCAGCCACTACTGCCACTGATGCTTGGACTCATTGGGAGAGAATGGCAACATTTTATGTGTTGTAAAAACTGAATATTGCTAAATACATGTGCAGAAAAACAGCAGTCGGGAATTACTTGCTTTACTTTTTTATTTCAGCTGGTGGCGTTGAAAAACGTTATAGCCTAAGCTTTGTAGAAACCGTTCTTCTTGCTGCTGTTATGAATATGATTAGTAAAAAAGTCGGCAGTGACTGCTTTGTTTGGGGGGGTGGTAGTGAAAGTAATTTGGCAACATAACAAGTAACGTAACTACTTACTTTTATCACCCAGTAATAAGTAAAGTAATAATATTACTTTTTCACGGAGTAATAAGTAAGTAGTAACTTACTAGTAATTTCTGAGTAACTTGCCTCCCAAGTAGTTCCTGCTATTGATCTAAATTAACATATGGCAGATGTATGCAAATAACATTTAAAATAATCCAACTGATGTTTTAAACAAAGATCTGTGTTCCACTGTATTACACGAGACCAAATTTCTCGTCCCACATTTTAAAAACAGACATTTGTAGAATGTTGCTAAAATACAAATCATGATACAATTCAGCCCAAAGTCTAAAACAATAATACTAAATTATCACCCAGTGATATACATATAGTGCATACAATAAGTCTGAATGTGATCACTCTGAAAGAAAACAAAGCCTAACTAACATCCATACAATAAAGAACTTATCAGAGCACTTCAGCTAATGACAACATGTTCAATATGAACTAAACACCAGTGGCACAACATGAAAGTACACCAAATCCCAGTCCCAACAACATTTCCCACCAGTTTACACACCAGCACATGAGCTCCCACTCAGCAACTATCCACAAAACCTACATGTAGACCACCTCTTCGAAGCAGCCAAACTGATGTTCCACACACTACTTTTATATTCTACCACTCTTACTGATTAACATCCAAGTAGAAAGGGGGAATGGCATAAAAGCTGCTATTGTAAAATGCTACTCAAGCTGCCCTCCTCAGCTATAGTCTAAAAATAGTGCCACTGGCTGTAGAGCCTCGGGGCCCCACTCTTGTTAGATTTTCCAATAAATATTCCACATCTCGTAAAAAGTTATCACAAATTGTTCTACCTGTTAGTGACGTAATTCCACAACTCCTATATCCAAATAGTCCCCACAAGTCACAGATCAACTCAAAAGCCGGCCAAAGTCGAGGAGATCTGAGCAAGTGGCTAGAGACAGAGTGGAGCGTGAAGCAGCAGAGCTGAGGAGAGGGGGAGCGCTCTGATAGGCCAGCTATTCCTGACAGTGGACAGACAAGAGATGTGGGGACAGCTGTTGTGATATGAGAGTGCTGAGCAGCGGTAAAAATAGGAGCCTCTGCACTCCCGCTGGACAATTCCGCCAATACCTCCCCCACCACCTCCACAGTCCACTCAGCAGCCATACTGTTGAAGCAGACATGCTGCTGCAGCTGCTGTCATCTCAGCTGCTTCTGTGGGTCCACACGTGTTGAGGCAAACACAACTAAGGGTCTGTCAGTGTGACTGAGTACATACTAGGCAAATCTGCTCATCTTGTAGGTGAGCAATACAAATGTTACAATATAGGACTTGCACGTTGTTGACATGGAGTATTTCAGGGGCTATTCTAACACAGTTGTGGGATACTGGTTGTTTCCATATGGAGCTGATGCTGTAGGCTTCTTTTAGTAAAGACCCAAAATAATAAATCTAAGGATTCTTATTTCAATCTATAAAATTTCAATAGTAACAGAACTAACATGTTGATGTTTAGCAGATCCAATGTTCACAATGGTCACCATCTTAGTTTAGTTTATTAAAAACCTACCATTTGCTAATTAGCAATTACAAATGTGATTAGTTTTGCATGTATTTGGTCATAAACCAAAGTATTAGACAAAGTGAAATTTGACCTGTTGATGCCACTACATGAAAAGTCAAAGGATCAACCGACCAACATGAAAAACTAACCACAAGTTCTCATATCAGAAGATGATGCTTTCAAAAACCCACAAACAAAAACCAGACCAAAACCAAAACCAAACCAAAACCTCTAAATCAGTTTCAGGGACTGAGAAAAGCTGCAAATCCTCACAACTGTGAAACTGAAACCGGCAAAGGTTTGGCATTGTTGCTTCATAAATAAGAGAGTCAACTAACTGTTTCAGCACTAGAGGTAACACACAGGGACAAACTGACCAAGGGTGCACAGGAAGAGCATGGGGAAGGACAGAGCACAGTCAGTGGTGGTGGAGACAGGCACTTCTTAAAATAATTGAAACTCAATCTATTACTTTGATGCTGAATTTAAGACAAGAACAACAAGAATAAGTTGCAGACAGTGTTTCAGATTGCCCATAGCAAAGCAGAATTAAACTGTTTTCAAAAATGCAACCCCATCAATTGGCTGCACTGTTACATTTTTGCAAGATGTTGCCTGAATTTCTGTCAGTCAGATTTACTACAGCATTAAATTATACAACAGTAGCTCAACATTGTGTGTAAGCTGGCTATGTAGATATAATGCCGAAGGACATCAGTCTGGTAGCATTATTCAAAAGTGAGGAGAGATTTCAGATGCTGCTCATTGCTGCTCTATCCAATCTACAGCTAACATACCTTTAGATTTTGCCCAATCATCATTTTGCATTTCACTCCAACATCCAGTACGTGAGCTTTCTGAAACGCAAATCCGTCAAAAACCAAACCAAAAATCAGCTCCGTTCTCTGTCTGCTGTTCTTTCTCTGCTGAAAATACACAGGCTACAACATTCTATCTGACTATCTGTGAGGGTGTTGTTGAGTTGCATCGTCTTCCTGTGTGAAACTGTTTCGTGCAGCAAAGAGCAAGCAATCTGAGCATTTAAAGGAAGGCAGTGCAGAGAAAAGCAGAAGTAGAGTGTAACATGTTACAGAAAATATTTAACAGGCTTCCATCACTGCTGGCAGTGAATGAAATAAAGCTAATCATTTACTTGTGATGCTGGCTCCAAAATGTTACTACTTGTAAAATCCAATGAATAAAAAGTCCAGTCATGAATATTGTGTTTATGTATTACACATAAAAGCTGTTCTGTGTGCGTCAAAGTGTCAGTTTTACCCATACAGCTCAAAGAAACACATCTTCCTGGAGCAAAGAACAGGTACCACATAAGGAATGGATCCATGGAGGATTCAGCTGTGGTTCATGGGACTCATTGTTAAGGTTTCAAAACATACTCACATTACGGTCAAAGCTTAAGGGTATTTGTGGGTCAGATATACCAAAAAATCCTAAATGTAAAGCAGCTCGTCCGCATGCTGGAAATCTGACACCCCTGCTTTACAGCATATCAATGTTTTTGCAAAACTCAGCTTGATTTACTGTCAATATATTACAATTTTCCCTGCAACATCCACACACCCATAGCACCTAAATCATTAGTAAAAGTACTTACATCTGTGTTACATTTGTATTTACATACATTTAGTCAAGGTCAGGGGTAGGTCCGTGTTTTGGTTAAATATGGAAAAAGTAAACGCAGGCTTGAAGGATGCTTCAATGACTGACTTAAGTTTTTCTTACACAAGCAACACAGTCAGGATTTCTGTCACTACTAAAGCAAACTAAATCCTTCAAAACACAACATTAGTCACTTTAGATGATTCACCCACGCAAGTGAAGATATTTGCAGATATTCAAGGGATCTGATCCCACCAGCGCTGCATCTGGACCACAAGATGGAGCCAGAGGACCAGGAAAAGCTCCATATGCTTTTAGAATCCTGCAACCACACAAAGCCTCCATTATTTCCCAGCAGCTGCCATGATATTCTAGGGAGGGGACGGCAAAGTGATATAAAGTACAAACAAACTGCTGTGAAATGCACGGCGTGACAGCTTTAGTCCAGCTGACAGTGGGGAGGAGGGGGTGTCGCGTACAGCCCGGCCTGTCTTGGGAAATAGCTAGAGAGCAGCTTAAAGAATAGGGTGGGGTAGAAGGGATAGGAGAGAAATACAGTGATGTAACACTGCATTCAAAAGTGACTACACGTATTATGAATGGCAAGGAAGTGTGTACAAGGGCTGGTGGAAAGGCAGCAATCTGTAGGTCTGAAACTTTCCACAACCTATTCTTTGTCAGGTCTCATTTTTGAAGATATCCCATTAGTCTTATCTCCAAATGACTCAATAACATGTAATAACATTTTTCAACACTGACTCTTTAGATGAGCCCTTCTTTTAAATCTTGCCTAGCATCAAGTCTGTTTGCAGACAAATCATTGTTTGTCTTCAAGAGCTTTAGAACACAGTCCATCTCCTTCAGGCTCCAGAATTCAATACATTTCCTCAGTGGAATGTGACATTCCGCTAATGCATCCAGCAGGCCTGTCACAGTTATTACATGATCACGCTATTTGAGCTGACCATGATCATTTTGCATAATCTTTACATTCAACAATCAAGGGAAGTTTTGCAGTTTAATATAATTTATTATTTATGTGTTGACATTTTATCATATTTGCTTCTATTCTTAATACATTATGTTTAATCCAAGTCTACTCTGAATAATTAGGATTATATTTTATTTGTTTCTTGCCTGTAATATACACTTAACAACACTTCAGTGCAGTAAGAGGCTGCAGGTGCAGAGTGTTGTGGACTTTTAGAACACAGAGATAAATGGCAGCCTTTCTGTTGATGAATCATGGGTGTCGAGTCGCTGTGAGCTGTGTTAATATAACATAAGAAACACAAGTCAGGTTGACTTGAGGTTTACACTATGGGCAGCGGTGTGTTCAGATAGAGCAGGTCTACACCGTGCTCTTTGTAATATATATATATATATATATATATATATATAACTATTTCAGATCAAGTTGGAAAACGGACCAGACTGAGTTATTAAGAAGTGGAGGCCAATGCTGTTGGTGGCAAGTTTGAACTAACGGTTGTTTTGTAAAGTAAATGGTTAACATCAACAGTTATTTACTGATAATTTGAGTTGAGCTCGTTCAGATTTGCAAGTTCAAAACGCACTTAAGCAGTGACATGTTATCCATGCAAATACCTCTAGACCCCTAAGCCTTTCATACTAGGGCTATCTCCAACGAGTCATAATATTAAAAGGAGACAATGAATTTTTTTTAGCAATGAGTTTCTTGGTAGTAAAAGAGTCATTGCTCCATCATAGAAAAAGGTCAGCAAGAGCGGGTAAATGGATTTTTGAATTATCTACAACTCTGCCCTAAAATGTGCTGTCAGGAGTAAGCAATCAGTTTCACAACATTTGGTCCTCCATATCTTATCTATAGAGGACAGACAGGTCGGGTTAGAAACCATTTGTTTGTTTTGTTGTAGGAAGACCTTGTTCATGCATCTTATATCTTTGTGTCTGTGACTAATAAATGCAATATGTTTACATATATAATATTTGCTATTGAAACATGGGTTTTAATTATCTGAATTACTGCGCTGATTTATTGGGGTGAGGTCACAATTAGGGAGGAAATCAAAGGTCAAAGGGGAGAAAATCCCCACTGAAACACCGAAGTGGGCTTAATGGGAGCAGGTGTGCTTTAAGAAATAATTGTAATTAAAGAATAAAGATAAACAAACACATTCTATTGTCTATTTAACAGGATAATAATATAAACTAAAAAGAAATGTTTAACTATAAACGCTATTGCGTCATTGCAATGAACCATACAATGCAGCTACTGTATTGATGCATGTGGTCTGTTTGCTAAAATCCTCAAATTCATTATGATTTCAATTCAAGTAACATTCTAACATATGTCTTATTGTAAATGCTCCGTATTTGTATAGTGCCTTTCTAGTCTTTTCAACCACTCAAAGCGCTTTTACACTACATCTGCATTCGCCATTGACACACTGAGCCTAAGTGCTCAAACAGAAACTAACATTCACACTCATTCATACACTGGCGGAACAGCCGCCAGGGGCAATTCGGGGTTCAGTATCTTGCCCAAGAATACTTCGACATACAGCCAGGGGGAGCCAGGGATTGAACCGACGACCTTCAGATTAACAGGCAACCCGCTCTATCCAGCCACAGCCGCCCCTGTCCCCCTATTCAAAACACTACTCACTTACATTTTTATAACAAAAGGAACTTATCAAAAATAGAAGCAGAAAGATGCAAAAACAAAGGGTGCACTGAGATGGTACCAAAATCACCAGTCTTTTTGTAGCGTCTTCTGGGATCAGCAGACACGCGTGCTTTGATAACTTAATATTGACAAATCT